GAACTAATATTCTGTTATCAAATGGTACAGTAAGTCGATGAATTCGTGTAATGGCAAATTCCATGAGAGAGACACTTATTGAAAAAATAAAACACAATTAATATTTCACATAGCAGTTAGGTGAAAGTACTGATATAATGAACTTTGTTCAATTATTAGTTTACATGCATTTCGAAGAAGGTAAATGAATTGCCGAAAAGTATTTATTTTATGAATTTCTTCATGATAGAGCAACTGCAAATGAAAATTTCAAAGTAATTGACAATTTTAAGTCTGAGAATGGTATTCCTTGGAATAAGTGCATTGATAAGAAGAAAGAGAACAATTTATAGAAATTCCCTGTGATCGAACTGTAACTAAAGATTTCAAAAATAACACACTTGTTAACTTTTAACTGAACTGGGGGGGGGAATAATTTTAAAGCATTTCAAATAAAGCTATTAAATTTTTCAAGGATTTTCTTCCATGTTGTATTTGAAAAATAAATATGGAAGAAAATTGAAAGTAGGTCCTAATTTATGGCTAAAACTAAATAACATAAGACCAGACATATAAGAAATTGTTCTCTCTTAAAGAGGCCTTAATTTGTCGCTAAATTTTAGAACTAAAGTAACAGCAGTATGGTGAAAATAATTTTTCCATTGACAACTGTATTTTAAGTTGTTGATTTATTTATTTTATGAAAATGTGTTGGAATTTTGTTACCTTTTAGTATATTAATGAGCAAACTAAGCTTTTTTGTAGAATCATTGCTAAAGATAAGAGGTAATACTGTGTAGTAATTTTACAGGAAAAAGATCACATGTTAAACCAAAAGAACCCCCTTTTGTAACTTTCTGTATAGTTAAAAGCACTTTTTGTATATGTATTACATTATTTTCTTGCTTTTGTTAAAGGCAAATAAAAAATACTTTCTCATTTGAAATGAATAGAAAAATATGTAATTAAATAGTATTAATTGTATGCCAAAGGAAGTTCATTAATAAAGTGTCTATTAACATATTTAAAGATTCCGTAATGTTTATAGTGTAAATTTGAATAATAACAAAACATGCATATGTAGAGAGAGAGAGAGGAAATTGGTATGTTGCATTTTCTTGTGAAGTTTACTAATCCTTCTTCCACATTGTTTCTTGTTGCATTTCAAGATGTGAAATATGAGGAACACAACTGTGTTTAGGTGTTGCTTGATTCTCAGATGTGAATGCATATAGTCATATCTGATTTTATTGAATATATTTTTACTTCATGTGGTATTTCTCTCAGGAACAGTACTTTTCAAGTTTAATTTGGAAATTGTGTTTATTTGATATATATCAATTTATGGGAAAATTGGACAAATTTATAAGTGGATATTGTTTTTTTTATAAGTGGAGGCTGATTTACACGCTTTTGATAAAAAAAATAATGAATAAAATGGAAATTTGCCTCTTTTTAGTAAGTAAAATGAATTGCCGGTTTTTCTAATGGGGGTACGGTAAAATTCATTTGAATGAAAGATAAAGTGTTTTCAGTTTTAGATCTATTTCAGTTCTACTTGAAAAGTGTACTTTTAAATTTTGTATGTAGATGCGTTGAAAATAGATATAATTTTAAATTTATCGAGCGTTGAATATTTAAAAGTAAAATACCTTTAACCTGTATATTTAGAGTATCAAACCTGTATATTAAGAGTATCAAATAACCTGTATATTTAGAGTATCAAATCATTTCTGTTCTATGTAAAATTAGCCAACCGAGTACCAGATACGAAGCTAATAACTTCGCAAAATTCGAGAGGGAAAAGTAAGGTGGTAGGAGACTCCCAAAACCAGTTTCTAATGATTTGATTGAAAATGCTTCGTTCGCGAGACACGAAATGCCTTCAGCTGCTGGTGTCATGGCCTGCTAACCTTGAAAGATGAGTCAGAATAATAGCTATCATGGCTGCCTGCTTACTGCTAAATCTTTGGTCTGGGAAGGTGGGCAGTTGCGTGGTTCCTGTCTTCCCGCCAAGCGGAAATGTACGCGCCATTTTCTCTTACCCCTCCCACCCTCCAGTTTCATCAACAATTGCTTTACTATGTTTTTTATTTTCATTTTGTTTTCCATCAGCTTTTGTCTTTTTTGCCCTTTGCACGTGTCGGCATTGGGTTCGGCGATCTGAAGAGTTGAATAATGCGCTCTTTCTATTCTGTCCGTCAACACCCCCCCCCCTACGATTTCTGAATTCCGGCGTTCAGACAAGCAAAATTTACTGAATACAATGAATCGATATTAAGCTCAGTCTGTAAATAGTTCATTTTTTGTTCATTTGTAATTTTTACTTGTTTCAATGGAATATTTTTTTATTTATCTCGGCAACGCTGTATAAATTTGCTTAAATATGTATTGAATGTGATATTTTGTAAATACTGAAATCTGGATTGGTATAGTATTTAATGATGACTTATGCTAACGGAATCGAATTCCAGTTCAAGATGATGATTGAACATTTGTGATATTCCATGAATACGAGTGTATAGGAGTTAGTCTTGGTTATACTTGCGATGTAACCTCGGGCACCGTTTTTGACGCTGAGACCAAAAGTCCTCCATAAATCATCAAATGCCGGACTTTTTGGGAAGAAGGGTGAACAATCCAGTTATTCACTGGTTTGATTCAGAACATAGGATATTTAAGCATTTCTTGGCAAAGTGGCTACATAATGTTGCATTCAACGGATTCGTTTTGGAGTAATAAATGATAGCACTTGATGAAGAATCAAAACACTTTACACTCGTCTTAAAGCTATGACAAGCACGCGAAAACAATTAGCCTTTAGCCACCTAAAAACAGCGAACAGACAGCTTCCAAAGTGGCAAAGCACTAAACAGCTCCGGATTCTGTCAATCGCTCCCAAGCTGATCTCTGAACTAAAGATACTACGACTGTCACCGTACAGGCAGGGTATCTGTAGCTCTAACCTACCTTCGAGAATATAGCCGAGGAAAATCGCTAAGAATGCGTTTTAGAATGTTCTCGCTCCGTCTATGACATGTCGTCAAATGCAGGATTTCACGCCAAATATGGCAACCCTTCCTTTCCTTTTAACTTTCTGGCAACCCTAAGCCCGCCGTTTGGCTATCTCACGGCGCCGCCACTTTGCATTTCACAACAGTATACTTACTTTAAATTTTGGGGCAAAAGAATCTGTAGCAATAGATTTTGCTGCCATTGTGAGAAGTATAAATAGATAACTAATAACGATTTTATTTATGTTACTGGTGTAAGTGAGAATATTCATCAAAAATGGAAAGCTTTCATAATAAAAATATCAAAAATAATGTAATTTATACTAACATTCTCTTTTACACCACATTACTTGTAAAGATAACTGAATATGTAGAATCTGTTATTGAGTTCATAATGTGTTGTTCATTATAATTATATTAATCATTCTGTTCTTTAAAATTTATGAAGTTGTGCAAAAGAAATTTTTTACTGAAGAACAAAATTTGTGAGTTTGGGTTGAATTGTATCTGTTCTCCCTCCTTGTCAGTTTTGAAGAAGAGGGAATCAGTGAAAGTATTTATTTCTGTGTTAATGTAAAAAGAAACATTAATCATGTTTCCTATGGTTCTCAAAAGTTTTTAAGATTTTTTTTAGAGGGGGGGGCAATTTTTGATTTGCCAAAATGTCCATATGTTTACTCATCTGCCATTTTCATAAATTTTTTTAGAACTCCAAAGTGTCATTTCTCTTTTGAGTGAGAAATGACACTTTGGAGAAATAGATTTGGCAATTCTTTGACAAATATATATTTGGGTTACCTGTTGAATTTGTTCTAGGTCATGCTGCAGTACCCTAGGTTCTGAGCACAAAACCCTACATTGAATGAAGCTTAAACATTTCAAAATTATTTGCTTTTTATGTGAATTAAGAATTCATAATGTATTACATTAAAAATAACTTTTCCTTATTTGGAAAGCAGTGCTAAATTAGGCGACTTACAAACAGATTAATTTGAAATAATAATTTGTAAAAATAAGTACCAACATCTGTTACTAAAACTTAAAATAAAATGTCGCTGATCTTTTTTAAAAATTTGTGGGCAATTGTGTAAAATATAAATTTTTAGAAATTTTGTTATTTAATGCTAATTACTTAATTTTACAGAGTTGTTTTATTCTCAAATTTATTTTATAATTATGTTTAATACTAATGCATCCTATATACAGATCTCTTTTATTCTTCGAATAAATAGTATTGCAAAAGTGAAGTTCAGTATCAATAATTTCTTAAATGTATTCAACTATGATTTGTTCATAGGTCCTTAATTTTTTCATTAATTTTTTTAAATTTCATTGATGATTTATTTATTTCGTTGATTGATTCAGAAGTACTCAATTTAATTACTCAAAAGTACTCAATTTCTATGCACAGAAATGCATAATTCCTGCATACCCAGTAATTTTTATTATTAATTTTTGGTTTATAATAATTAGGGGTAGAAAATCTGGAACAAATATTTATGTGCTCCTAATTTTACAAATGCTCACATTTTATTTAAAATATTTCTTAGAACTAACATAAAAAAATTTTAGTTTCAAAAATCATTTCAGAAATAATCTACAATGTTTATATCATGTATTATAAAAACGTGGGCACCTCAACACTTCTAATTAAATTTCATTTTAACATTGCAAGCCATTATTTTTATAAATTTATAAAGCTCACTCTCACACTTTTATTACTTTTCTGATTGTTTATTATTTGTAAAATGAAATCATAGATGAATTTTGTAAAGAAAATTATTATAGATCCCTTAAAATTATATAATAAATTTTCTTTCTCATTTTAGTTCAGTAATTATTTTATGAGTTTCAAGTAAAAGCTTATTTTATAAAAATGTTTTTTAATTTTATTTTAAAATTACTTTCATATTGCAAAATTGAAAACATACATATTTCAGAAATTTTGGGTTTAAAATAAAATTTTACCTTTTATTCTTGCTTTCTGATTTCCTCCTCTGTTTTCAGGCATTTCTAGAAATGAGTGATGAAGCTTCAGCAACATCAATGGTAAATTATTATGCCAACTCAGGAGCTCCTTATGTGAGGGGCCGCAATGTCTACGTGCAGTTTTCAAATCACAAAGAACTTAAAACAGACAGTTCTCATGCAACAGGTGTAAGTAATTTTTTTTTTTTTTTTTTTAAATTTTTTATCAAGAATGCTATCTTTTTGTGAAGTCTTTTTATATAAAACTGTTATTTATTATTTATAGAATGCCAGTACACAGGCAGCATTGCAAGCTGCTCAGGCTTTGGTAAATCACACATCTGATACACAAGGTGGACCAAATACTGTTCTCAGGGTCATTGTAGATAACCAGATCTATCCGGTTACTCTGGAAATATTGTATCAGGTAGGAGCAGTTTTAAATTTTTTTACTAAGTTTTTTTGTGTTTAAGAAATGGATTATAATTAATTGCATGCAATATATAATTTGAAACATTGCAGTATGAAAGTTTTCTGTGTTAAATAAAGATACACGTAAATTTGTGATTTCTTATTTTTAATAATTATGTACTATTCATGTTTATAAAGGTAAACTTCTTTGTAAAGTTTGCAAGCCATCTATAAAACCCCTCTTTTTTGGGGGGTGGGAGAGATATGTATTGTCATTTTTACAAGGGTTTCTTTTAGGAAATCGAATGCATCTAAATTATAAGAAAAAAGTGAGCTCACATTTTTAAGGTTTCAGTTCTCAGCTGGAATTTTTATTCAGCTTATTTATTCATACAAGTCACCATTATTTATTTAATATTGGCTAATTAAATTTTACATGTCACTGATTACAGTATGATGGTTCACAGGTGGCAGGTATAGTTCAATATTTTTGGGGGGAGGGGAACCAATACTTCAAAATTATTTGGCAGGTGGGCACCTTAAATTTATTCCCTTTACAAGTATTATTTTTAAATGCAGCTCTTCATTTTACAAGTACTTGCAGCATAAAAAATATACAGCTTAAATATTTCCAAGATTTTGAAATGGTAATATTAGGTGTTTTAAGAAGTTAAAATAAATTTAGTTTCCATGACAAATCCACAACACTGTAAGGAGCAAAACTGATTCTGGTTTACACTGGGTAAGAATTCGCCAGGTACTGATAAAAGACATAAAATTTTCATTTGTCAATTTTTCTGCTGAAACAGCCCACCAGCGGCCGGGTAATGTCGCTGAACACTGGTAGTTTGATCCGAGGTTCGAACGGCCTGGCTGCATGGGTGTTTTCGGGGTTTTCCCCATGTGTAACGTGTATACAAGCCAGTTCCCCTTAAAAAGTCCTCCACGAAGGCATCCCTCCCCTAAGGCAGATAGCCCTCGAGTGCTTTGCCATAATCTAATAAACCAACCCAAACCAAATCTGCTGAAACAATTTTAACCAGCTATCACCGGAATAAGACTGGCACATATCAGTTACAAATAAGTCAGTTCAATTCAATCAGTATGTTTTACATTTAATAATAATTTCAAAAGAGCAAACATCTGGTTTGATTAATTTAATAAATATTTGCTGATACTGGAGTTTTACTTTGCTTTCTTCAAAAGAGAATAATATTCTACCTTGCTCTATAGGTTAATAAAAGAGTATTATATTTTGCATATCAGTATTGGGAGGTGGGGGGAGAAAAGTAAAGCAATTGGGGGTTATTTCTCAGGCACAGCTTTTCTAGTATTATGAATTTTCTTTTTTTCAAAACCTAATTCTTTACAGTTGCATAAAATTTTTATCACAGTTGCAAGTTATCAAAATAATAGACTAAGCTAAAAAATAAAAACTCTATTCATTAAAAGAAAGGAGAAGAAATACCTTTAAAAATTAATTGAAAACTCCATTAAATGCAACATAAAAGAACAAAATTTAAAATTAGTAAAAATTAAGGCCAGTAACCCATTTACCAAAAAACTAATCAAAGAACAATAAAATCACAAGAATAAAGCGAAACAAAAGTTAAGTTTTTATAAAAAGAAATTAAATGCAATGAGTTTTCTCCTTAAAAGTTGTGAAAGTATTAGTAATCATTATGATTTACCAGTTTAAGTAAAAAGCAAGCACCACTCATATCAATAAATAACAAAATCCTTAGCTTATAATTTAAAAAAAAATTGTATGAACAAGCAATAAGTTCAAAGTAAAAATTAGTTCTGTAAAGCTAATTGAGTTGCTCAATAGTCTTGTTGTATGTCAAGAAGTGCATTCAATAAAAATTATGAATCTTATGTAGAGTTCAATGTTTTTATTTGAGACTAAGGAAATTTTTTCTTCTAAATTACAAAATTTGTTTTAATTGTAATGTAAAAACCTTTAAAAACATGTTAGTTCATTTTAAGTTTTGCATTGTGAGGAAAATTAAAACAAAATCATATGCTTGTTACACATTAAGCAAGAAAAGTAAATCCTATAATATCGTGGCAAAAATGTGTAAAAGAAGTGAATTCACTGTTGCTTTTTAATGCATGCCAGTAAGTAAATTGAGTATAAAAATTTTCTTACATTTAATATGATAATCTTAAGTGTCTTATATATATTTGCAGATTTTTTCTCGTGTTGGAAGAGTCTTAAAAATTGTAACATTCTCCAAAAATGGTAAGAATTTAAATTATTTTTTATGTGTTTATGGTAGACAGTAATAGAAGAGAATGGTATTAGTTTTGTAATCACACGTTTAACCCTCTTTAGGTACATTCCAGGCCCTGATTCAATATCCAGATGTGATTACAGCGCAAGCTGCCAAACTGGTATGTGCTTGTTATTCGTAAATAAATCTTAAACTATATAGATTATTATTAGGAACTTTTTCTGATGACTAAGAGGCTTCTTTGCAGTTTTCCCCCTAATTTTGTTATTCCCCCTTTTTTGAAAAGGGTAACTTTCTTAGTTATTAATTTAGGTTTTTATTCTAATAAAAATACATTTATATGTGTAACTTGTAAATGAAAGTCTCACTTCATATTATTTTTTTTATCTGTTTTGCAGTCTCTTGATGGACAAAATATCTATAATTCGTGTTGTACATTGCGTGTGGAGTATTCTAAACTTTCAAATCTTAATGTAAAATACAACAATGACAAAAGTCGTGATTTTACCAATCCTACTCTTCCAACTGGAGATCCAACTCTAGATAACTTGGGGCTGCCAGGTATTATTTTTAATTTCATGAAATATTTATTTGTATTTTAGCAGTATGGATTTGTTTTCTGTGCTTGGGATTTAAATAATATTTGTACCATGCTTTCTTTAAATCATCGTATAAATTTAGAATGCGTCAAACCTCATTTCCTCAAAATGTTAGGTCAGCAGTGCCCAACCTTGTGCTCGCCGATCTTTTGTACGTTCTCGCCAGCCTGATTAGGTACTATGAAAAAGAAGACCATTAAAATTTTTAAAATAACTATTAATTTATATTTCTTAATTGTTAAAATATGGTAAACATTTATAGGCAATTGAAACACAGAAATACTCGGAAAACCTAAATGCACTGAATAATTTTGAACTCCGCTTCTCTGATTTCCATAAAATTCAATCAATATTATTATTCATCTCAACCCATTTGCCGAAATTAATATTTCGGATTTATCACACAAGATTGGAAATATGTTTAACAAAAATGTTGATGTTTTGGAAATGTGCTCGCCATAGGCCAAAGGTTGGGCACCACTGCATGATATTTTTCTTGCAAGATGTAAAATAATCTTGCAAGATGTAAAATAATCGATTGCTGACTGATAAACTTGATAGCGAACATGGAATCTTATTGCTTCATTTTGATGTTAGATCTCAGCAGGAGAAAAGTCCTTCAACGATTTGTAGAACTTCTTTCACCAATAAAGAAGTTTTTGGAATTCAGAAACGAAAGTTATAAAGAATTGGACGATAATAATTGGTTACAATCTGTATTTTCTCACGGACATAACAGCTAAATGAAGATCCGGAAAAAAAAAAAGAAAAAACTTTTTCAATTAACTGGGACTGTAACTTCTTTTCGAATAAGGTTAAATTTGTGGATAAATCAGATGACAGAAGAAAAAAGTTCACCTATTTTCAGAATCTATCAAGCCATATTAATAACCACAAGGCAATTGAAACACAGAAATACTCGGAAAACCTAAATGCACTGAATAATTTTGAACTCCGCTTCTCTGATTTCCATAAAATTCAATCAATATTATTATTCATCTCAACCCATTTGCCGAAATTAATATTTCGGATTTATCACACAAGATTGGAAATATGTTTAACAAAAATGTTGATGTTTTGGAAATGTGCTCGCCATAGGCCAAAGGTTGGGCACCACTGCATGATATTTTTCTTTAGGAGATGGGTGGTGATATTGATAAATTGTGTTTATGTAGCTCAAAAGATTTATTTTAGCTGTTCAGGAATTATTAATTTCATAAATCTTAAAAAATGTTGGGTACATGCTAATGCAGTGTTTTATTTTTTGTTTATGTATGAGTATTATTTTTCCTCTAAAAGTTTCCATATATTCACTTTCAAAGGCACCTCAGATGGACCAAAAATAATTCATTTCTTAATGTACTGCTTCTGCTTTTTTATTAACATCTAGGATAATAAATGTCTTTATTTCAGTATTAATTTATAATTTACCGAAGAAAAATGCCATGCACATGAGAAACAGGACAAAGGCTTCCCTTCTCTTATGCAGATAACCCTTGAGTGTTTTGTCATAATCGAATAAACCAAACCAGTGTATTTCCAATGTGATATAGTTTTTAAAACTTTTATCTTAAACAACAAAACTTAGAAAATAAGTTTTCATACTAATTGATTTTGTAATCCTAATAAATTATAAAACTGAAAATTTTTACTGTATTGACTAAAAATTCTCTCTGTAAATCAACTTTTTATTGCAGTAGCTGTTTATATTTCATGTGCTGCTTTTACTACATTTTTAGAATGTTCTCGATGTTCAGTTTGTGGAGAATTATTTTTATGTGGGTGGTAGTAGCAAGACATTCACTTTAACATCAAGTATTGCTGAGATTCAATCATATTGCATCCATATATAGGTTACTGCAACATATTGCTATCATATTTAATGTATACCAATGTTATAGATACTCATGCATTAGGAGTATATGGCTTTTTAATTTTCATTGGTATAACAAAAAGTAGTAGAAAATTTCACTTTCTGACAACATTCATAGTTTAAAAACTAACTCCAGTTTAGCAGCATATTTTAAGTATGAAAATTTGATTTTTACTTTTGGTAGGTTAAAATTAAATGGTGATTTTATATTATTCGCTTTGCTTAAATCCTGAAACCATATAATTATCTAATTTATTTAACTTTATAGTTTTCAAAAATGCTATTTTTATATGTTTTAAAAAATTTTTGATCCAAAATATTTTTAATGTTTTTTTGGGGGGGAACATTAAAAATAAACAATTGTAGAAAGTGATATATTCTTCATTTTCATGAAATTACTTGTATTTGTTGCATACATATGCAGGAAAACATTTTGTAGCTTTAAATTAAATTCTTGATACAGTCGAACCTTCCATTAACAGACATGCACAGGGCCAAAACGTTATATGTTTTCAGAGAATATTCATTTGAGGGGAATTAAATCTTTAGAAAAACATCTGTTTTCTTTGAAGAGTTTAAAACTGTTCTAATAAGAATGCATTGTCATAAGCAACATTAAATAGCAATAACGAGTTAAATGTATTAAAATATATTTAGGAAGTAAAAATTTACTTCTTGTATTAAAAAAAAAAAAAAAAAATCTCGTTGTTTTAGTTTACCTGATTTATTTCACAGGACTTAGCCTTTTGGTTATAGTGATTGCATCATAGTCCTGATGGCTCAAAAAAGGAATTTTTGGTGTATCAAGAAATGTATTTAAATGGATCTTTGCCTTTGCTAGTTTCTATTTCTGTGTTTTCTTCAGTGTCTTTTTCTTCACTTTTGTTTGTCTTTACGAAGTCTTCTATTTCCAGACTTCATTCTTTTGTATATAAACTTTCATCAACTGCAATGTATACTTCATTATTAATTCTGCTGAAATTTTCATCTAAAAAAAGCTTAATGGATAAACTTGATTCTTTGTATCATAAACATTCACGTATCTTAAAGTAATTTCAGTAAATTTCACCTTCTGGAAATACTTTTGGCCATAGCTGAAACTGACACTTTTAACATTTTATGTAGCAAACTGCATCTAAAGTATGTTGCTAATTGTTGGGTGTTCATACAGGATTGGAATTTTAGATAAATATGACAATAGCAGCCTTTTGTTTGTAATCTTTTATTATTCCTTGGTCTAAGTGTTGGCATATACTAATATAGTGTTAGTGGGAAAATTTTATTTTTTACTTCCTTTAAATTGTGTGAGAAGTTGCATTTTACTGAGAATAAGTTCCATGAAATGTGAAATTGTTAATTTCTTATTTTGATATGTTTAATCAAATTCATTTCATTTTGCCTTAATTTCAGGTGTCATCTAAGCTATTGTTGTCTAGGATTTATATATCTGTAAAATATGTAGCCCCCTTTTTAAATAAAAAGCATTTTTCTAGCAATACAAGTCATTTTATGGAATATCATCACTGTCTGTTTTTCTTTAGAAGCTATGATTCTGAATCATTTTTATTTGTCTTTAAAGCTAATATTTTATATGATTCAGCAATTCTCTTAACTTTTTGTTGTTATACATTGATTTTCAGAAATACTTTTTGTGTATGCGAAGCAATATTGGAGGAACGACAATTGAATCAATATGATTTATATGCATGTGCAATTGTTTTTTGATATTTTCATTGTTGCCTTTCATTCTTAAGTGAGCTTTTTTAGTGTACTTCTTCAATTTGCCTCTTTTTGACTAGAATATGTTTTGAAAGCTTTGATAAACTGACTTTGAGTTATGAAAAATTGATTTCTTCAGTTTATTCTTTTAATTGAATACCTTTTTGTGTTTAAAAGTTGAGGGAAATAAATCCTTGGATCAACAGCATTGGAAGCTTATAAAAGTGTATATTCCTTGTTCGATGATATTTGGTATGTTCTGAGACTAAATTGCCACATCATTTTCTTGAAATTAAGAAAGCAGAAATAACATCATTTAGAAGTTTCTGTCTGCTTATAAAATCTCGGAACACAAACTGAGAATTTTTTCAAAAATTTACCTGTGCGTAACTGCACTTGTTTTGCAAACTGTGTATTTTAGTCTTCTAGAATCTACTTTTTGAAAAGTAATATTTTTTGCTTTACTGCAGATGCATCACCAAAGGAGACTCTTCTTTCATTAATCCTTTCTTTGTAGTAATTTATATAAATATTTCTGTCCAGCGTTTTCCTGGTTTGTATCACTGGCTTGAAATTTCAGCAAGTTCGGAAAATTAAGAATTGTCTGTTAGTGTGGAATCTCTTTGAAGGAGGTTCGACTGTATGTTGATCTGCATTGTAGTCATGTTACTTATTTTCTTTTGTAGTCTTATATTAAAGTAACAAACTCATAAATTGCCTGCAAAGTTAACTTATTAGGCCTTGCTTTTATCATTGCTTTGTGCCAAAGGTTCAATGGGTGTTTTGACGTCCCCTTTTGCTGCTCCTGGATTAGGATCACCCCTAACCGCTGCGTATGCTGCTGGCGCTGGAGGTATGCATTTACTAATATTAATTTTCCACATTTTCTTTTTTCCCCTTCTGTTCAACTGTAACTAACAATTTCTTTTTCATAAATTGTCGTACTATGAAAATGTGCAGGAAAAGATTCTGCGTACAGAATGATAATTATTTTATGTTTAGATTTTGAGTATCCAGAGCAAAAGTTGCAGTCTACTAGGGAGGAAGCTTGAAAATTTGTTAAGTTATTGGTAAAATAACTATGTAAAAAAAGTTGGCATTAAAAACTTACTTAAAACTGTTTCAAGTATGAAAAGCAGTAGTTTATTATTATTATTATTATTATTTTATTATGAATATTTCCCCCCTTTTTAAAAAAAAATTCTATTGTAACTGCTGCAAGTTTCAAAATCACGTTTCATGATTCACATTTTATGCTTTTTAGTTACCATCCAGTTTTACTGCTTATTTTTAATTCACTGCATTCTTAGCTAACTGAATTTTTTCTGAAGCTAGAAATATCTGAAATTTCAATTTATATCTCTTAAGTTTTAGAATCTGTAGTAATACAATAAATGATTTTGTTATGTATGTATTCATCTATTGCTAGTATGTAATTTCTTGTTATACTTTATATGTTGTATATGTTTAATTATTATTTTTTGTATTTGTCATGGTATTCCACTTGACAAATTAAATTATAAAACATATTTTTTATGTAGTATTTAAAAGTTAATTTGAATTGGCTAATTATTTAATTATTCTTCATAGTATTTCAAAATCACTATTGTTTTAATGCATTCAAACTTTCTTCAGCACTACCTCTTGGAAGCTTTGCATTATCTCCTGCAGCAACTACAGCCGCTGCTTTAGGAGTTGCAGGTTTACGCCTTCCCGGGCAAACTCTCAGCACTGTCTTACTTGTCAGTAATCTCAATGAAGAGGTTTGTATTATATTTTTATTAAATTTTATTATAGCTCAAAAGAAGGGGGGGAAAGTTATTTTAGGACCATTTTAGGATGCTTTGTTATTTGAAGATTTTTAAAGGCAGTCTTGGTTTCCTTATGCAATTATGTCATCTGGAATTATTTTGTGAGGTCATTTTTCTACCATATACCCCATTATTCTAAAAGTACTATGAGTATTTTCCACTAATGTAATTTATCACTTCCTTTACATATTTAAATTAAAATTGGTCATAATAAATGTCCCATAATAAACTAATTTTGAAATCTTCAGAACTGGCTCGTGTGGGCTTCCAAACTGTTTTCAGATTTCAAGACAGTATTGGCATAATAACTTTAGGAAGGGGAGAGGAGTGGAAGACCTTCCATTCTGTGCCCCCCCAAGGTGATCTTGATCAAGATAGGGGGTGAAACTGAGCCAAATTGCACTGTCGCCTGTAAGGTGCTCGAGGCTGTTGCCAACGCCAAGCGTAATCTTGCGCTCCTTGCCACGAGGAATTTTGTGGACTCAATCAAGTGATCATATAAGCAACAGTGCACACAAGAATCTCGGATCTTTCTAATTCTTCTTAATAACATGGTATTAAGTAAGTTTTTAATAGCACATCTACAGTTATTAAGAAAATACAAATGAGGTTTATTAAAAGAAGTAGTTAAAACACTTGGGTCCAGAGATTTGTGTTCTGTGTATAATTTGGCGTAATATATTTGAATTGCAGAATTTCCTAGAGTGTTTTAAAGTTGTAAAAAATGTAAAGGTGGTGAGGAGTATTTCAAGATTTACTAAATATTTTTCTTTGATTTGCTTATGGGAGCAGAATTTTCTCCAGAAGATTAAAAATGTGGTACTTTTGAAAGGTGATATTAATAACCAAACCAAACTGAAATTGCAATTGTTGCAGTCTTGGGGTTGGGGGGCATGCTTCTATTAAATGTTATCAAAGGATTTTTTTTTTTTTTTAATATAATGATTTGTGGTATTTAAGGATATGAATGTTTCATCCCCAGTAAAAAGAATTAAATGATTTAAAGAGCACACGAACAACTTTTTTTGCATCTTTTGATAAAACTCATCCATCTGCAGAATGAAGTAAATGATTGAAAGAGCACACATACAACATTTTTTTTACATCTTTTAATAAAACTCATCCATCTGCAGAATAAATTATGAATTCTGCGAAAGTGTGATAAAAAGATTATTTCAAATATAATCTTTTTGAGGGGATGATGTAGCATGTTGAGTGCTTTTGAGAGAAGACATTTTTTAAATTGACTTGAGGTCTCTTATTTTTTACTGTCTGTTTTTATTTTAGTATCACTTAGAATATGATAGAAAGATTGCTTATGCTAGTGGGGTATAATTACTTCGTAATGTAAATTGTAGTTGGGCATTGAAAGATGAGCTTTTGTAATTTTATATTTGCTGCAAATAAAGCACCATTGTTTTTGAAGACAATTGTATCATTGAGACTTATGTAGGATGCTGCGAGTAATGTGAGTTATTTTGCTTTGATTTGTTAGTTCTTCTCTATTAAGCATTATGCATGTCATATAATAGTTGTTTAAAAATTCGACCCAAAGATCACTGCATACCTGTAGTTCACACCCAGGTGATTGGGCTGGTTACTGGGTTGACCTTTGTGATTTTCTGCAATTTGTAATGAGCTACTTTTCTTCAAGAAAGTCCTTCATGAAAGCACCCTTCTGCTTAGGCTAATAGCACTAGCGTATTTGCCATATTCAAGTAACTTGACCTAAGTTCTTTAAAAATTTAAACTTTGGCTCGTATGGCTTGATTTGGGACTAACCATGTTGTTGCACAATTAATTTTGCATTTGCCGTGTATGATGAGTAAATAGTTTTTAGTAAGAAAACTTTTATTAATTAATGGGGCATAGCCAGTATGAGATATTTAGATTATCAAATGAGAGGGCATTAGCAAAAGAATATTAAATTTAAATTATTGCTTTGTGTATGAATTTCAGAGCATTATTAACAGTTTTTGATAGTAAACTGATAAAAGGTGAATACCATAATGTCAATGTTTAATGTATGTATTGTATCCAAAATTCACAAGCTGATTTTATTTCTTCAAAATCATCTTTCAGCAAAGTCATTGAAAGTGCAAGTAATTTTTATTAGTTATTCTGTTAGTGTTTAGCTGTAGATTCTTATAAATAGCATTTCTAAAAAATATTTTGGGTATAATTTCACAGTTATTTCCAAGGTTATGCCATGTTCCAAAATAATTTTTGTTTAGGAGGGGAAGGAGCTGGAGTTTAAATAGGTTGATGGGTAAAGATGCATGAAAACGTTCCATGAGGCAGAACTATAACTGACACTAATATGATGCCATTCAAGCAACTAAAGACATTAATTGGAAGTTTTCTTCCATTTAATATTCATTATTACTCCTTTAAAAAAGCCTGTTATCAAATGTTTGAAGTTTAGTCATTCATCTTTTTGTGTTATATCTGAGTCATTGCTACTGATCATATAACACACCTAAAACTTTTTGTTGTAGTTGGTTTTAATCTGTTATTTATTAAAATAAATTTCTTTTATGAAGAAAATACATAAAATATCTAATATATGGAGGTTTGTATATGATTTCAAAATGCATAATTTTTTTCATGTTAGTGCTTTTAATTTTTCCTGTAAAAATTATATTTAATGTTCAAACATATTTAAAAATCCCATTGTTTTATTTCTTCTCGCTAAATGCTGCTTTCTATAATCTCATTACTATATGTAAACAGCTGTAACTTATTCTGTGCTATGCCTTTAAAAAAACTTTATTTTTCAGCCTGTTTGTTGTGTTACCCTTCCAGCATAACTTCCAATTAATGTTTAACTAATTGATAATTTGATATGGTCAAATGCATTAGGGAAGAAATTAAATGGATATCTAAAAATAGTTTTAATTTTTTATTTGCATTGCATCATTTATTCTGGTGAAATTTTAAATGTTCATCACATGCAAGTTTTTCAAAAATGCTTAGTTACATTTTTTTTTTGGGGGGGGTAAGGCTGAATTGCTTCAGATTGCTGTCCTTCATTAATGTGTTAAGCAGTATTTGCTTCCATTTTGTTTGAAGTTTAAGAATTTGTAACTTTGATATGATTTTTTTTTTTTTTTTTTTTTTTTTTTTTTTTTTTTTTTTTTTTTTTTTTTTTAATGATAGTGTAGGGTATCTGAGGTATAGAAAAATTTTTAACCTTTTTTGCAGTTTTGATACATACCTTCCAATGCATTTTGCCATATCGGATAAATATACCTTTTCTATTTTTGACTGTGCATATTGTTTTATTCACTAAATCATTTTATGTATCTTGGTTTTTTTTTTTTTTTTTTTTTTTTTTCTTTCTTTTCCTCGCCTTGGTATTTTTCAAAATGAAATATATCTAATGGACTTCTTTATTCGTTCGCTCGGTCACTGAACCCTTTCAACCTTCTGCTCTGCCTCACCACCTGTTGCTCTGAAAAACTAGAAGGTCACACCTGATGCTCTCTTTACCCTTTTTGGTATGTTTTATAAAGCACTCTTATAATTTGTTTTTCCTTTTTTTATGACCTACTTGAAAACCCCAATTTTTTATAGTAATGCACATCTGCTTTTATAGTTCTGTAGTATCTAAACCTAGTAATACTCTTATTTGAATGCCATGTGTACCAGACCCATCTGGTGTGGTGATTTTTCTATTTTTATTTTCACATATGCTGGATGTATGAGCTTGTTTTCGTATTTGCAACATATCTTTTATTATTTTTTTAATTTATGCATGTTAATGAATATGTTTGAATATTTATTTTTATTTTTCTGGCCTAATTGTGTAATGTTTTCCATAAAAAAATTTCTCTACAGAGATAAAACAATTTCTTGCTTGTTATTTTATCTTTCTTAATATAGTTATCACAGTATTAATTGAACTTTATGTTCAGTTAATAAATGTATATTATCAAGGCAACATATCGGATTACATTTTTAAATAATTTAATCAATTTATTAGCAATATTGTAATAAAATGTTTCTCGACAAGTAATCCAACCACCACCTTTCCTATAGACAGTTACATAACCTATAACGCCCATGAGCGGTCAAGTCGCTGAACACTGGTAGTTTTGTCCGAGGTTCGAATCCTGCGAACGGGCTGGCTGCATAGGCGTTTTCGTGGTTTTCTTCATGTGTAGCACGTATACGATCCAGCTTCTCTTAGAAAGTCCTCCACGAAGGCATCCCTCCCCTTAGGCAGATAGCCATAGTGTGCTTTGCCGTAATCTCAGTAAACCAAAACCAACCATAACCTATAACTGTATCTTCAGAGTAACTGTAATGATGCCTTGTGAAGTCAGATACAGGTAATCTGAGTGTAACAAAGTGTTCCATTTGAAGAACAGGCATTATGAAATCAAAATTTTAGTTCAGTTTGAAGCTATATTAGTGAAAAAGTTATCAGCTTTAATCTTCAAGTAGTATGAATCCTTTTATCTCTAGTTCTGACATTTATCAGTTGTTTTGTATTACATGTTTTTGGTTAATAAATGAAGATTGTGAAAGCAAAGATTGCAGTAAGTAATTATACAGGTCTTGCTAAATACTTTTAAACATGCTATTTATTGGCCAATCCAAAAAGGTCGAAAAGCTCAGAAAATGTAATATATTTATAAAATTTATATGTGTGTATTGATAATTTTTCATGCAGTAGTGATGGGGGGAATATTGCAACATAAATTTCTTTCTGATGATTGAAAGACATGCTTTCTCTGGATTTAAGTTTTATATGGAGATGAAAATGACAGATTTGGGGGAAAGAATAGGCATCAAATTATTGCAGAAGGTAATATTTTGCTTAAAATTAATAATAATAATAAAAGATGCATGTCAATAAGGGGGCAATGAGTTTGCATTATTTAGCATTAATATGCTAGATTTAAATTATTTATACTTTTATCGTGCATATTTTTATAGGTGTAAAAGAGAAATTGATTTGGGTGTTATAATGTTGTTGTGTTATATTATTTAGGTACTGCAATGAATAGTATCAAACTTTTCTTAAAGTATGCAACTTTACATATTATTGAGAGGTATATTTAAGAAATCTAATTTATGACCTATCTAATTTAATAAAACATTTTCATTTTTCTTATTTATTAATTTATAGGCAATAAAAATGTTTTTTTTTTATTGAACTATAAAATTATTCCCCCTTTTTTTAAATTGTAGAGCATTTTGAGGAGTAAAGACACTAGCAAAAAGCTCAAAACTTTCAAGAGTAATCCAGCATATGAGCAAAACAGCAGGTGCAGATATGGGGCACTTTGAAGTTCCCCCACAACCCTTATAAAACAGGTGTATAAAGTGGCATATTTGTTGTCAGCATCTGCAGCCACAGATTTGCAATATGTATATGAGATATTCTTTTATTAATGAAATTCCCTGTTATATGCATTCTGGATATGTTAGCAATTCTTTTCTATTATATCATCTGGCATAAGAATTTGCCTTACTTTTTTTTAGTGTTATTTTGGTTCACTGCTGCTAAGGGTTTTTAAGTTGTTGTTGCTCTATTAGGGTAAAGAATTAATCGTCCAGTGTATTTAGATCGCTGTTACTGCTAGGTTTTCCTATGCCATCTAATATTCACTAATATTTTATCCACAGCACAAGCCGTTGGCTAATAGTACAGCCTACTTATTTCTCCCTAATACACCTTGTTAGTGATCAAACATGCTGTGCTGTGTATCTCGTTATGCAAGCACTAGTTACTACTATTCCCATGCTGATCAAGCAGTACTTATTAGTGTATGAATGTATGCTACCTACCAGAAATGTGGCTTAACTTATAAAACTTATAAAACATGCAAACCACAGGTGCATTGTTGCATTTGTCAAATGATGCCTGCAAATATTGTTGGTGTGTGAGCAGCATTACACCCACTCTGCACTGTGAGTTGCATGTGATTGTAAAATGCCACTCTTTGTAGATAACGCATGCTTGATCATCCCTGGAGGTTTCATGGCACTTGTTGTCACAAAATCCTCTAACATTTTTTATAAATCAGGTTTGGCAGGTAAATTCACCAAATTATTTCATTTCACAAAGTTTTGAGCAGTGAAAAAATAAATAAATAAAATAAAAAAGGTAAAATTTGAAGCAGAATTCGGCAAAAATAGGAAAAACATTTCAGAAGTTTAAAATGCTGCATGTATTGTATTTATGGGTTAAAAAAAAAAAAAAAAAAAACTAGGTTTCAGGCTATATAAAAAATTGCATTTCATTTCCATACATACAAGTTTTATTTTAAACAAAACAGGGGATAAGAAAATGAAATTAATTATTATTCAAACTCCTTCATCTTCAGTAAGGATGGTACATGCAACTTCAGATTGAATCTACTGCCTTTGAAAGAGATTCAAGATTCTAGCATGCTGCCAATATAGCTCTAATAGTTTCCTCCATGGATTCATAACATTCATTAATGAGCTCCTCGAGCGGGCTGGATTGTATCCTAAATAAATAAATAAATAAATAAATTCTTTAGTTATGGAGGTACTTTAACAACTTTATCTGCCAATCACTGAAGAAAGCTTGGACATTCACTCTAAATTACATCCAGACTAGTATGATTCTTCCTCCTATCTGCGAATGAATTGGCTTATCAAAATTAAATTCTTTTTCATCACATAAAGTTCATGTATGCAAAGGTATATAAAGTATATTTTATGTAAATTTACATTTAGAAACAAATTTTGTCTCAATACATGTTATTGCAATCGAAACACAAGCATTTAAAGCTTGCTGCCTTCGGATTCTGCAGAAGCTTGGCTTTACATGTAGAAATCCATGAGTAGCTAACTGCCATACCTATATATTTTAAAATGTCCAAGTCAGCATTCTTGCTTAATTTTATTCACCGACCTTATTGCATATGCCTTTTGTATAATTTTGTTGCAGTCTCTTGTTGAATTTTTTGAAGATCTTCATAAACTACTGTAAAATGTTCCTTCTTGCTGTATGACTCATGATTTGTCAGATACCTTCTGACTGCATCATGATATCTGTCTATTTAATTTTACATGTGACTGTTTTCATTATAAAGTGTGTTCATAAAAAATACTTCCCCATTATATGAATCCTTATCTGCTCAACCAATGGAGATTGTTGTGATTTAAAACAATGGAGATCTCGCAGTTAGTATTAAAGTGAAAAAATTTTGAAATTTTTGAATGGCAAAACCCATTTTTCTCCTCAACTTGATAAGCACATTTAAAAACTAGAAATACTGTAGGAACAATACACATAGGAAGATGTAAAACACTTGCAAAGAAAAGCATTGTAAATGGCTAAAGATAGGAGAGGGGGGAAACTTTTTTTGGAATTACAAGTTTGAACTTGCCTACCTGCACATTCCATGCAAGAGACTATTGACAACAATGACGAATATAGCATCAAAGCAGAATTTGTTTATCTTCATATTTTATGGCATCTTCTTACAATTCTGGTAAATTTTACAGATTTGATGTTTACACCTTAGGTTTCAGATAACCCCTGAATGAGAAATCCTTCAAAGTTAGGTTAAAGGATCATGGTGGCCATTAAGGTGCAAATTTACAGGAGATGACTCTGCCTCCAGAATGCTGTTGCAGCACTTGCTAAACATGTGGTAATGTGTGAAGGAGCAGTATCTTCCATCCATACAATGTCATTAACGGCATTTTGCTGCTGTAATCCTGGAATTAGTAATTCTGCAGCATTTACAGACTGAGAACAAATGTGTTTGTATTGCTGCACCCATACAGTCACTTTAATTTCACGTAAAAGCACTAGTGCCACATCATAAGGATTTCTGTTGGCCCAGTGAGCACAGTTCTTTATGTGCCAAGTTAAAATGAAATGTGTCTCCTCCATCCATAGCAGGCATCTGCTACTTCATCATATCTGATAAGAAAAGATTTACAAAGTCGACATGCTGTTATTCATCTCCAGGTTGCCTCATTCGTATGTGCTGGAATTGATCAGGGAACTCCTCCACAACAAAGTGCGTAACGCTGAGGACTGTAATTTTCCATGCATTCAAACTGCAGACAGTACTACTTGTATAATGCAATGGACTTGCAGTGATCATAATATACACTTCCACAACAATTTCAACTGCAACACATGGTCGTTGGAATCACAGTATATTCAGTTTCTTCAAATTTATTTAATAAATCATGTATTGTTTTACAGAATATGAGCATCATATTGGCTTAGGATTTTGCTGATAAACTCTTACTGCTTCGGCAACATTTTCACCATTCAGATAAAACAGCTTTATCAATACATCTCATTGTTTCCTTGTATCATCTTGTTAGAAAATTTAAACACCTGGCTGAAGAAAAAATCTTTCCACACTGCTTATTAAAATTTTTTCAGAAGCAGTGCTTTGTGCATGGTAATCTGTGATTGGTGCTTCTAGTGTTTATCCTTGTTATTATTGTGCAAAGAGCATCAGTGCACATCCTCTCTGTATTGTCATTGGGCATTTACTTCTTTGCAAATGTTTTATACTGGCAATTTTCATTGTGTTTATCATTCAAACAACAATGTCTGAAATTTCATTTCGTTGAGTGGATAGATCACTAGGAGTTCAAATGTCGATTAAGTTTAATTTCACTAGGAGTTAAATGTCGATTAAGTTTTTTTAAGACCACTGTGTACACGGATTCATTTTTCATCCTCTTTCTCAGATTCTTTCTCCCACTACTGTAAAAATGACACTTGAAAACAAAATACTTGTCTAAAAATGGCAAAGGTAATGCATGAAAGTTTTTTTTTTTTTTTTTTTTTTTCCTAAGCTAGAGTGTGAAAAGGTACAACGGGTAGCGAATCATATTCAGGTAATGGTTTAGATTTTAAAAAATTCAGACATGAAAATATATAAAATCAGAGTTCAGTCAGTCCAATCAGTTATTGAAATTCATTTTAAGTTTAAATATGCTCATTTTTTTAAACTTACTTAGTTTAAGCTTTCTTTAAGTTGTTATTACTTAATCAACTAAATATATTGAGGTTATAATATATCTAATTTTCATTGTTAATGGTTATGAGAAAATTTATTCATTATAATATAAACATCTCATTTTCTGTGATATGTTTAATGTAGGGCAGTATGTGCATGTTCGGTTTTGAAATATTTTTAAAATTACATTTTCTTACATAGTTGAATTGGTTCAGATTGTCATATGAATAACATGTTCCTGTATGTCACAAAAAGAGAGAGAGAGAGTTTATGGTATATTATTGAAGGCTTAATGGTTTTTTATGAAAAATATTTGTTGATGTCTTGGGATAGCATTGATATTTTAGCCTTTCAATGGCATTATCTGATTTTAGGCAAACTTTTTATTTATTAAAAATTTAATATTTGTCAAAGAGGCTGATGAAATGAATGCTATAAAGGATGATATAACTCATTGATGTAAAAAAATCATTCGTAGCAGAAGTTCCCCCCCGCCTTAATAGGTATTCTAATATAGGCAAACATATGGGGTTATGAAAGATGCAATCTGTAGGGTAGCCAGTTTCATAGAAGCCCTAGTAATTGAAATAAACAAATGGGCCATTTGTCTTAAGATGATAGGTGTTTTAATTGCTCCTGTGAGTCCCCCTCCCCCCAACTTCAGAATCCCAATCCACCCTTGCAAACCAAAAACATCTTTGAATGCTTGTTCTCACAATGGTAAAAATGAAATTAGTAATGTATTATGTGCAAATGAAAAACATAGAATTTCTATTTTTAATAATAGTGATACTGATCATAATACGGTGGTGGCCAAAATTGTGGACACTTTTGGAAATTTTTATGTTTTTGAACTTTGTATGCCTATAGAAAATGTTACGTTTCGCAAAATGCTAACTTGTATATATCATTTTAAAGAGAATTTATTACTGAATTCAATACAAAACACAAAATTCAATTATTTGCAATACAAAAAAAGTTATATGTACTTTAATATAAATAAAAAACACAGTTGTGAAGTGGTTTGTAATGTCTAGCTTTCCTGGCCAATCACTGTTCTTGTTCTGAGAACCAATCAAATGTTAGTAACTGCCAGTAGAAGCTGACATCATGTTTACACTTGAAACAATTCATTATTTTGCTTTGTTCTGTAGAAGGACCTTTTTCTTATACACTGCAATTACAAGTAGGAATTTTTGTAAAAATTTTTACTATTTAGTCAAGAAGCAATGACATCAAATAAAAGAGTAGATTGGACACCTAGAAAGAGATGTAATATTATTGTGTTACGAGAAAGTGGTCTTTCCTATTCTGAAATTGCAAGACAGGTGGGGGTGGTTCAGTGACTACATAAGGAATTCAAAAGTTTTGTTTACGATATCAGGAGACAAATTCAATAAAAAACAAAGAAGGAAAAGGCCGAGAAAGGTGCACCACATCTATTGATGACAGAAGAATAAAAAGACTATGTCTCCAAGATAGAAAAATGCCATCAGCGGACATCAGAAGTGATCTGAATGATGCTGGTGTTTCTGTCAGTTCAAGAACAATCAGGAGAAGATTAACAGATGTTGGACTGAGAGGTAGAATTCCATGAAAAAAGCCTTATCTTAATTTTCAGCAACGAAAAAAAAAAAAAAAAAGACTACAGTGGGCAAAGGAACACATTAATTGGTCAGATGATCAGTGGTCACAAGTTATATGGAGTGATGAAACTAAGATATCATTATTCGGTAGTGATGGGCGAAAATATGTAAGATGTAAAATAGGAGAAGAGCTACATCCTGACTGCATTCAAGCAATTGTGAAGAACCCAGTTAGTGTTATCATTTGGACATGAATGTCTGCAGATGGTATTGGTCGCCTTCATGTCATCGATGGGACACTGAATGCCAGAAAGTACATTGACACTATTCTAGAACCAAAACTTCTACCTTCCATCAGAGATCTCTTTCCCAACAATGCTTCGTTTATTTTTCAGCAGGATTCTGCTCCTTGCCACACGGCCAAAACATCGAAAGAGTGGTTTCGTACGAAGAGCATTAAATTGTTGTCATGTCCAGGAAATAGTCCTGACCTCAATCCTATCGAAAATTTGTGGCACTGTTTGAAAACTCTTGTCCGAATGAGGCGCTCATCAAATAAAAGGGAACTAATTGAGGCTATAATTATTTCCTGGCATTATGTAATAACAAAAGAAGAGCTTAAAACTCTTGCCAGCTCAATGAAACGTCGATGTGAAGCTGTAATAAAAAATAAAGGTACCCTACTAAGTACTGATAACTCACTGCAATCATCACTATCTAATGTATATCGATAACTATTACGTTTAACTTTTTTGTATTGCAAATAATTGAATTTGTGTTTTGTATTGAATTCAGTAATAAATTCTCTTTAAAATGATATACACAAGTTTGCATTTTGTGAAACTTAACATTTTCTATAAGCATACAAAGTTCAAAAACATAAAAATTTCCAAAAGTGTCCTCAGTTTTGGCCACCATTGTACATAACCTAAATAGAGTTTATAGCTATTTAGAAACTTAAAATGATGTGCAAGTAAATGAATCTTTTTTTTTTTTTTTTTTTTTTTTTTTTTTTTTAAAGAAAAGTTGTGCGTAATACAGTACAAAGTCTGTAATCCGGACTCGTCAGGACTTCCGCGATTCCGGATTAAGGGTTTTTCCGGATTATAGATCACCAATTTAAATCTGGTAAGATGGCATGCAGAAATTATACAATTTAAAATAGGAAACCGTAATTTATGAAATAGAGAGCAATTATGATCTAAAGGGTTTTAAATTTTACACAAAAAAACTTAATATTTATATGTTTACTTTATTAAACATTTCTTTCAACACGTGCATGCATAATGTATGCGCATTCTTTACGCGCATACGTAAAGCTTGTTGCTTTGAGGTTCGGATTACTTACTTTGTACTGTACATGACATTTTAATCAGTCTTGTACATTGTAGTTATTTCATATTTTAATGCTCTGTGTGAAGATTTGACTGTGTGATTGTTAGATTTAACTATGATAATTTATAACTTTTAAAATTTGTATCAAGCATTATTAATTCATTAAAATTAGCATGGCATTTACCTGTATGAAAATTTCTTGTAACAAACGTTTTGCAGTTATAAAGCATTTCATTCATACTATTTATTGTGTTAGATTTATTATAGTTATTGTTTTTAGATTTATTATAGTTATTGTTTTCATTATTTCATACAGTTAAATATTTTATCAATATAGAATATGATATATTTATGAATATCTATTTTATTTGATAGTGATTCCAGAATTTTAAAAAATAATAATTTTTACATATTCATTAGGGCTATTTTCAGATTTTGTTTTTAAACATAATTATTTTAGGTGTCTACGGTGATGTGCAACGGGTAAAAATTCTCTTTAACAAGAAAGATAATGCTCTTATACAAATGGCAGAACCTCAACAGGCTCAGCTTGGTAAGTTAAACATATTCTTGATGATAATAATAATAATAAACGTGAAAAAGAAAGCTTAATGCATCAGGCACTCATCCATGGCCAGTGTTTCTGATACACCGTTTCTGTATATTGAATTATTAATTATAGCTTGATTACAAGTAATTATGTTTTGCAGCTTATTTTTATAGCAAGTCATTTGAAAAATAAGAAAGAATAGTACCGAGCGATGTAATGATGTGAAAATGGCCATTTAAAAGGATTTGCAATGCAAATGTTTGTGCTTATATATAATAAATGCATTAATGTTATTTAATTTCTGTAAGCATTTTTAATCAGGTCTTATTTTGTTCTAAACAAAGATAAATTACTACTAATTAATTACTAGGAGGATTAATCCTTATCTTAAAAGTTGCAGATAATCGTCTATATATAGAACCGTTTGTAGTTTTTGTAAACACAGCTAAGATACTAGTAACTACTATGGGTATTAATAGTGATCTTGAAATCTGTAGTTAGTGCTATTTATGTATCATTTATACACTGTCAATGAAAGTCATTATGCAGCGTTTAATTTCACAACCATTCGTCATAGACATGTGCTTCCAATAATGTTAATGTTTTAACCCTTTCACAACCAGTTTTTTCTTTAAAAAAAAAAAAAAAAGATAAATTAGGGGTTTATTAGGGAAAATAAAGTAGAAATAGCAATATTCTGCCCAATTATAAGCAAAAATTTACTGTAAGGGCCATTTTGGAGGTGGGACATATGTGTCCCACTGGTCTTTTTAGTTGGGACACGTGTCCCATTGGGGTTGAAGTGACAATATAAAACATAGTGAAAAGTTCAGTTTTCTAGTTCTAAATGAATTTCACAATACTTTTGAAACAGTTTTATCAGAAAACACCTATCTACACAACATTATTTATGAAATTTCTATGTATGGTACATTGCAAAACAGTTTTTACATAGTGCAATTTTACACATGGCGCAAACAGTTTTTGTTCGGGTTTCTTTATTTTGTTTGGCACAGCGGGCACTTCTTCTTCTTGTTGGCCCTTCTAATGGCAAATGATCTCCAACATTCACATCAGTTTTGTTGCATTTGACGGTCGACCTGATTTCTTTCTTCTTCCTTTGACAATTGCATTTTTTTTGCCATGAGCAATCATTAATTCGGCTAGGGGGACAATGTATTGCAAGAGAGGTATTTTCCTATGTTTGGTTTCTTGAAACAATATGTGTGCATTCACAACAGCTGTCATCAAAAGTTTATAAAATACTTTTTTCCACCATTTTGTAGATCTTCTGTCAAAATCATATAGGCATATCTTTTGATCAGACAAATCTACTCCTCCCATAAATCTGTTATAGTCGGCAATAGCGGTAGGACAATTTGTCATTACTTTTTCTCCATCTTTCTGCTTGCGTTTTACTTGTATGACATCAGGTCCGTGGCAATTACTCAGAATCAGAACTTCCTTTGAATCTTGCCATTTTGCTGCAAGAGTTCCTCTTCTATTCTGGAGAAATTCTGAATCACCTTTTTGAAGTTTTTTCGTCAGAGAATTTTGGCATGTCTTTTCTACGAGAAATACAAGTACCAACAGAAGGAAAGGATATGTTATCCAATAAGTTTACACTTGTAAAAAATCTATCAAATGTAAGTGTAACATCTGGGTTACGTATTGTTGAGGAAAGTTTTAGAACAACTCTTTCTCCAAGTATTGTACCCTCATGATCTGTATTATCCATGTCTTTGGCAGAATATATATTGAAGTCATAGGTGTAGCCCGTAGCAGCATCACATCTCTCCCACACTTTGATTTCCCCGTTTTATTGGCTTTAGGGGTAAATACTGCTTTAGGCTAGAACGACCTTTGAATTTAGCCATGGATTCATAGATGCTTTGAAGGGACTATCTTCGCGAGCTTGCATAAATGTCCTTTTGAAACATGCCACCACTTCATCCATATAATATGTCTTTGGAGCATTCGCATCTTTTTCTGGATCATTGAAGTACATTTTTGCAAAGAGCAATAGGCATCTGTTACGGGAAATCGCATTTTTGATAGCTTCGTTTCCCAATGAAGAATTGCTGGACCAATAATCTGAAAAGTTCGGTACTTGATTATACGACATGACAAGCATAACTCCCAACACAAGCATAATTTCTGAAGGGTCTGTGTCAGTAATATCTACTTTTTTTCATGTCTCAGTATTTCAAGGCGCTGGTTGGTACATTGAGAAATAAAAATAAGAAGACTTCGTGGAAATACACATGAGAAACATTCTAATTCATTAGAGGATCTGTTGATTTTGGCCAGTATTGCAGTTGGACAGTCTTTAGATACATGGAGCCGTGGCTCAAAATTTGGACCAACATTTGACCAAATGACAGGATCAGTAGGTTTTGAATAGTTTTTTTTTTTATGTTTATTTTTTTGCCTTGCACTTATATTTTGATACCTGCTCCGCTTCATCGGGTGAGAAATCATCAGAGTCCGAGTCAACGGAGGGTTCTGATGAATGCTCAAGACATGACAGCTTTCGTTTCGGTGCCCTTGATGTTCTTGAATTTTCTCTCAATTCTTCACAGCTATCACTGTCTGAGGAACTAGGGACATATTCCTTGTCTATATCTGAATCGTCCAATTCATCACTTGAATCCGGTTCATTCAATAATTTAATTATTTCTTCCTTTGTCAATCCCTTCCTGCGATTCATGATATTGCTATGCCTAAAAATACAGAAATGACCACTTTGAGAATGAGGCATAGATATATTTCAATAACCACTGGGACAATAATGCCCCAATAAAACAGACCATTGGGACATATATGTCCCATAATATTATTTTTTTAAAAATCTACAATGAAAATTCACTTACTTCAAATAAACTGCTTGATATGGCAAAAATAGACGAAAATCACATACAACGAAAACAGCACGTGTGTCCACTCATGTATCTTCGCCTAAAATGGCTGCCAGAATGTCCAAACTTTCCCGCTTGTCAAAACTGTTACGATAAAACAAAGAGCTCACAGGGCACTAGTGTCATCTATCGAGAAAAAATTACACTAAAAGGTAGATGTAATCACAGGAAACCAGTGAGACACTCGCGGCAATAAATTTTACGCTTGTTTTTCCCATTGGGTGATTTGGAAACATTTGCGGACATATATGTCCCGGTGGGGCCGAAAGGGTTAAATGATAGATATTCATCTTAAAATATTTTTAAATTTAAAAGATCAACAAAAATTTACGGTTTACTCACCATTCCTATTTATTATCATTATAAAAAAATAAAACTGGAAAAATTGACAGATATACAATTTCTAAAATCGAAATTTTTGCCATTTTTTAGGTGGTGGTGAAGGGGGGCTTTTCTTGAAGGGTCAGCTAAAAAATAAATCGGAATAATGAAAGGTTGATTTTCTTCTTTAATGTCATTCAGGAATATTCTTTAACCCTTTGCGGCACAGTGTGCCCGTTTTGGGCGCACCTAAAAATTTTCTTCTGTATGCACAGAAAAATTGAATGAAAAAGGATATAGGTTACTCTGAACCTTCTTTATTTACAGTAGATTTTAGCTCAACACAAACCAGTCGTCTGTATATTTTAGCCATGTTTAGTTTTTTAAGACCCTCATATTTCAAATAAATCTTGAGATTTTTTTAGGGTATAAAAAGAATTGTTCGAATTTTTTTTTGGGGGGGGCTGTATGCTAATCTTCTTATTCTATATTAGTTTAAAATTTTTATCTTGAAATCTTGCTTAAAATATAAAGGTCAACCCGAGGTGTGCCCAGACCGGACACACCAAAACTCTAGGACAACTGAGACTGTATTCTTTGTTTCTCCACATGTCATCGGTCAATTCATTGATAACAGAAAGGTGGGTCCACATCTTTTTTTCTCTTTCTTCTTCCCCCCTTTTTTGGGGGAGGGACATTTGGTTATTAACTAACAAATTGTTGGAGTGATTTTTTTGAAGGTCAGGGGTAATTTTATCAGTTAGCTGTTTGGTTTTTCACTACAGCAGTTCTTTTTGTCTCTTTCACTTTCGTTCAAAGTTTCCATAGCGCTACGTTTAGTAGTTTTGAGTTAATTTTATTTTGCAGTTTATAATTTCTGATTGTACACTACTGTCCACCCAAATTGCAACACCAAGAAAGACAAGAGATGTCAAAATATATTTAGTAGATAACATGTAGACCCAAGTATCAAATTATTACATTTATAGACTTCTGTGAAATGTGGTTCCTTCCAGAATCAGTAGCCAGAGTAGCTGCCATTGTTGGAGATCACCGCTGCCGCACGCCGTGGCATTGATTCAAAGGGACTTTGTATGTGTTCTTGGGGTACAGCAGACCAAGCAGCTTCCACACATTTCCAAAGTTGATCTGGTGTGGCAACTTGGGGTGTAATCTGGGTCAAATCGTTCAGCAACCAAGGACCACGTTTTCTATCGACGAAAAATCAGGAGAGCAATCCGGCCAGTGCAGCAATTCAATCTGGCGATTGACGGAAGAACCCTTGGACAATGCGTGACACGTGTAGTAGTGCATTATCCTGTTGAAATGTGGCTATGGGCAAGCCCTGAAGGTAAGAAAGGACAACTGGCTCCAACACCTCGGAAATGTAGTGCTTGCTGTTTAAATGGCTAATCATCATACAACCAAAGAAGAGCCTTTTAGGGTAGTGTAGAGTAGCAGGTCTCCTCGTGTCACACCCTAGGTAATGCTACATCTGCTATGGTATTCAGAATTTAGTGTTTTTTAATTGTAGGCAAAAGCTCTTGCTCTTTTACGCGCTTCCCAGTAATGCTCGTTTCAGCACTCTTTTCGAAGCTCTATTCAACCAGTGTACCCGCTCCAGGCACACCCACAGAATTAAAACGATAATTGCTATCTTCACAAAATTTTACTTTGTGTTTACTTTGTGAAGTAAATTATTACTAATTAAATTATTTACTAATTGCTCCTCTAGGCCTAATTAGACTGCCAACCTTTTTTTTTTTTTTAATCGAAATTCCAACTTTTAAGAGGGTTAATTTATAATTTTGTTGCACCTTGGTATGATGAAAGTTTTACATGCAATTAATTTAAAAGTTTTTGAATCCATTAATAACATTTACATTTGGTTTAATTACTTTAGGCTTTTCATCTCATCTCCCAGTGTTCTGGTAGATACCAAATCTTCTGTTTTTTTAATTTTTAACATTTATTAATGAAAATCAGGATTTGTGTGGTCCTTAAAACACATTAGTTTCAACAAGAATCGGCAGTAAGTCCTTAATTTTAATCATCTAAAAAAAACCTTAATTTAGCTAGAACCTTAAAAAAGACCTTAATTTTAATCATCTGAAATTTCTGTTTTTACGATTGCCATTCTGGGGTTATCTTTTGTATGGGTTATATATTTTGTTCCTCTTTCTCGGATACTCGAGTTTCTGGATAAGACATGAAAAATAAGCTTCTTAAAGTTACTTTATTTTTTCCCTAATAAAGGGCTCTTGAACAACGTTTTGCTGTGGGCAATTTAAATTCTTTTAATAAATGGTTCTAAATTTTTTTATTTATCATTTCGGTGATTTTAAGATCAGTTTGTAAGGTCTCCCACCTTCTTAGCATGCCTTCATGGTGTAATGGCCAGTATACTCGGTGTGTATCGAGAGATCCGAGGTTTAAGTTCCATGAGGACATTGAAGTCTCCAGCTTCAAAATTCGGACACAGCACAGCTAAATTTCAAAACTTGCAAAACATGCCTACATTAGGCTTTCAGGTTTGTTCTGATCAGCACGTCCCTCTTATTGCAAGCAGCAGTAGTGGCAACAGTGAATCTTTTGTTACGATTGATGCTAATTTTGACTTTACTTCTCATTTTAACCTAAGCCATTTGGCATAAAATCTACCTGCTATATACTAAACCTGAGCGAGTACGTGACAAAATGTGACATGAAAGGGGAAAAAATCAACATAAAGCTGACTGTTGCTAAAATTAAGTCTTCTTTCAAATATGTCCAACTATTAGAAGTGTAAAATATTTAATGCTAGTTTATGAATTTTATAAAGTTGATTTTATTCCCAAATTTAAGGTTATTAAATTATGTGTAATAATATTGCATCCTACTTTAAAGATCTGTTTTATTCTTCTTATTTCAGAAGTGAAGTTCAGATGTAGATAATATCTTTAATTGAATTTTTCAGTTCCCATTTCCTTATTTTTTCATTAATGGTCCTTAAAAGTACTTAATTTGCATGTGCAGAACCGTGCACAAATCCTGGAAAATGTTTTTCAGCAGTAAATGAAATTTATGGAATTAATGAAACATAAATTATATAAATTTTATTCTTCCAAGCCTAGTGGCGTTCAAAATAATTTTTCTTATTAAAATTTCTTCTGTCTGAACTGTATTTTTCTTTTATTATAGTGTATTGACCTTTTACATATTAAATTTCATTTTATCTGAGCTGTTTTAATCTACTGTAGATATCTATAGATTAATGTGAAGATTTTATTAATGATTAATCTGTTATGTTTATTTTTTGTCCATTATATGCTACATTGCTAATTTTGTCTAGATGTATATGTATACAAAGTATTAATTTTATTTTCATTGTATTTAAAGTACTTCAATAAATAAAAGCTTTCCTTCTCTATTTAGGATTTTCTCAGCACAAAATCTATAATATCTAATTAAATGTTAACATATTTGGCATCAGAATTGTATTACAAATAATTCAGTAAAATAAATTATGCCATGTAAAGTGAACTTAGTCAGTTTGGAGTTTCTTTGAAATAGCTTCGTCGCACATTGTGAAAATCTCTTTTCTCCCTTCCAGATTTGTAAGTTGGCAACTATGGATTGTAATCTGATGAAATCGCTCACTTTTAATTTGTGCAAATATTGTAAATTGGCCTTTTTGTCAATACTGAAGCTTTCTGATTCCTCATTCCAGAACATTTATTCTATAAGAATATGTGAATGAGATTTCCTTTTTCAGAAATATATATTAACCAAAATGTTTCTTGGTAGTTTACATAGCAGTGCTTGTTGCTTAATCTAATAACATCAAAAACCTCCTTCTTTAATTGATATTTTATTTTCAGTTATACACAAGTGCTGGTATTTAGCTCCTTAATTTATGTGGGACCACTGAATAAGACCTCTTTAAAGATGTTTAACTAGTTCCATGTGGTATAAAGTCGCCTTTTCCCCTAAAAAAAAGATTTTTATTAATAAATTAGAATTTATTGCCGTGTAATTTGTATTCCTTAACCTTTTGAGGTCAGGGCTTTGGTAGCAGTAGAAGCTACCAAAAGGAAGGGGAATCTTGAACCAATGCTTTCCTCCCTTTAAGAAATCACCTCCTGTTTGCAACAAAGATTCTTGTGTGTAGTTTAATGGATTCTCAGAGGGGTGCATCTATGTCGCAAAAGGAAGACCTTTGAAAGAGATAAATGGTTAAAACCCTAGGGACGTCAAATTTGACATTTCACCCCACTTTTCAGCTTGGAAAATGGGGGAAAAAGACATGACCACTAAAGTGGACAACCCCGTCTTTTCAAAGAGAGGACTTTATGGCCACTATAATGGCCATCCTGTCTTCAAAACGTTAAAGTATGTGCATATATATTCAATAGGTCTGTTTCAGAAAATGGTTTTTCAGTGTATGAATGTAAGGGCAGTGATCTTTTAACTCTCTCTCTTCCTTGGTATGTGAGGAATTTTCCAGGGTGTTCAGTAGATACACAATCATTAACTTAGTTAAACACAGACATAAACTAAGTTAAAAAATAAAATGTAAGGATACTTGACAAATAAGTCGATTTAATTGTAGAAGTTTTTGGGGGCCCATAAATATTGTTTCATGTATCAAAACATATGGCATGCACTTTGGGCTGTATTATTCTAGCTTTTTGGAGAGGGTTGTTTTGTTCTAGGAGTAACTCAGTCTATGTATATATGCATTACTGAAAATTTTGCTTGCAAATCTCCAGTCTGAATTTTTAGTTGTCTGTTCATTGAGTGAGTGAATAACAAACTCGCAAAGAGTGTTTAAATCATTGAAGCTTAAAATCAGTACTGCATCTTAATCCCAGAACTGTGTTTTTATTCTTTCATAAGTTTTTATTTCATATGTTTGAATGAAGATAGTTTCAACTTTTTATTGCTTGGCTTGCAGTTGTGTGTCAGATGCTATTTATTTACATATGTGATCAAAGAAATTCACATTTTTGTTTAAAATCTGAACTTCTTAAAAACTTCGTCATATGCTACTACCTTATTGAATTTTGTGAAATAATCTTAAAATGAGATTTGTTTGGTCTGCCATTTTTTCTGTTAACTAAAGTCATTGTATATTTCTGTAGTTGAAATGTGTGAAACAATGATTTTTTTTTTTTTTTTCACTTCCGTTTCACAATGTAAAATTAAATGCTGTTTAATGAAATACAGATTTATTTGTTCAAAAGCATTTTGTTATTAAGAATATTTGATGTGTCCGCAAGAGTAAATTTGGTTTAAAAGTACTCAAGTATTTCCATGAGAAATTTTTTCTTATTTATACATATTTATTTATTTTGTTTTTTAGCTTTGACTCATTTGGATAAAATCAAAGTTTTTGGAAAACCAATGCGTGTTGCACCATCTCGTCACCAAGTTGTTCAGATGCCGAAAGAAGGTCAACCAGTAAGTTTCTATATGAGTTTTTTTTAACAGGTGAGATGAATTCCTTGACATTATAATAATTATGCACATTTCAAAATATTTATCTGAAACATCTTTTCTTAGGATGCTGGACTGACAAAAGATTACAGCAATTCTTCATTGCATCGATTTAAAAAACCAGGCTCCAAAAATTATCAAAATATATATGCTCCATCTGCCACCTTGCATTTATCTAACATTCCGTAAGTACAAGACATATTTTGTGTTGTTTTGGTATCGTTAAGTAAAGTAAGGAATGAACGAATGTTTAAGAATAAAAAATATGGTATCACCTGAACATCAAACGGTATATGTGTAAGTTACCTTTGAATTTCATATATTAGATCCCCCCTCCAAGTTAAAAGTTACTGTTTTTGCCATTCTCATATATTTAGTTCATTTGCTGAAATTATACAGCTTTCTTTTTATCTATTACATGTGTTGAATATTGTAGTATGTCTGATTCTATGGCAAATATGTATAAAAATGTATTGTGGATTATAGCAAACGTTGTTTTAAATGCTTAGAGATATCGAAGTAAGACATTATTGACATTTGAGCTTAAATGTTAAGCACAAGAGTAAAATTAAATGTAGTTTCTGTGTTATACAGTGTAGTGTACTATTTAAAGGATATAAATTGAAATAATTTATTTTCCTGATGGGAAAAGCACATTAGTTATTTTCAGGCACTAGTACAGTAAAAAGTTGACCATCTGGAAAATGCTGAAAAGCCATGAAGATTTCAGATAATCGAGTACATAAAAAATGCAATTTGTCCTGGAAATGCCAAATGAATAAATGAAATTTCTGGTGTAAAATTATGAAAAATCATCATGTTTGTTATCAACTTTAATATCAAAACCTGGATTTAAAATTATGCAAGTTTCCTATTGGGAGTGCATACAGATATAAAAGCTGATATATTTTATATGCTTTAAGCATGAAACAAAACATTTTGCCCAATTATATATTGTTATAATTGGTAGTTAAAATAATTAGCAGGTATAAGTTACAGATGTAAGCTCGTAAAAAAACTTAAATTCAGCTATTATGATTTTTCTCTTTGCATCATCATTGTTTATCCTTTTTTCAGATACCATACACACTTTACATACTTTTTTCTTGTTAGGAACCCATAATTTTGAAAATACTACACTGCATGCTGTCTTATAGAAGACAGGTCCCAAATTTGTTTTTTTAAATGTAAAAGGGGGGAAAAAAACCCAGAAATAGTAGTTAGCTTATATTCTTTGCAAAGTCTGAAATGGGTTATTAAGAAATGATCTCATTTATTGGATAATCCGTGGTTTTTCAAATCAAAGTGTATTTTTTTCTGGTTTTTTTTTTTTTTTTTTTTTTTTTTTTTTTTTTTTTTTTTTTTTTTTGATAGAGTGATCTGGTACCTTGATCAAAATAAATGTTATGTAATTCTAGCATGTATTGCTGCATAATTTTTGTGTCAGGGCAGTGCTATTAGTGGATATCCTAAAAGCTCATTTTCATCATATTATGCTCTTTTATTTAATAAAAGGGGGAAAAGTCAGACTGCTCATAAAAAAAATTTCTGTTTGTGGACAAAGAGCTGATTCTGATTACAGATTTTTAAAGTGGAGCATGATAATTTCAGCCTAAAAAAAAAAAGTAGAACATGGTAATTTAAGCCTTGAAAATGATGCCCACTCTGGACAACCATCCACTGTAAACAAGGGCTTATTAAAAGAAGCTGTCCTTGATAATCTATATTATGTAGTTCAGGAACTGTCAGACAGATTTAATATTCCAAAAAGTTCAATACATCATCATTTAAGAAAACTGGGTATGAATGCTGTCATAATACTTTAACAGAGCTGAATATGCTGTTCTTGTTGTAGTGTGTATTTCTTTGCTGGAGGGGGGGGCTGTTTTGAAACGTCTGGTTACTGGAGATAAGAGGTGGATACTATATAATAATGTTTAAAAAAAAGATCACTGGATAAGCCGAAAGTAATAGCATTGAGAATAGGGTTTCGTCTAAAAAATATAATAATTTGTTTATGATGAGACTACAAAGAAATTAAGTGCTATGAAGTTTTGCCACCAAATTGGACAATAAATTCGAAAAAATTCTATTTCCAAATAACAGTTTGTAATCTTCCATCACATCGATCCTTGGTACCACATTTCAATCAATGTAGGAGAAAATCTTGTTGAATAAGACCGGATGTTGCATCATTTTGTATTCAAGAAACCTTTGCTCACACATTTTCTTCAGGTCACTTCAAAATTTTCTGAACAGCCTGGAATTGGAAGACTCTCTTACAGCATCTTAATAACCTCTATACAAATAAACCTCTAATGAATGAATTTTTCAGTTGCCAGAAAGATGGGGGAAAGCAATAGAACAAAAGGGTGCTTTGTGATTCAATGAAATTTTCATATATTTTTGTACTGCTTCATTTATATTTATCATTAAAAAACCAGAACTTCCTTTATGACCTTATGCATAGAAGCAAGGGGAAGACCTTAATATTGAGTTGCAACATCATTCATATCCATAATTGATGCTAGATCATACTATTTTCTTCAAATGCTGGATGTTCGATCATTTTCTATAGTATTGTTTACTTTTCTTATGGTTTGAAGGCATTATTGCAATAAGATTATAAAAGCTGTGACATCAACCAATCATCATAAAGCTGGACTGATAAGACTGGAAAAATATTAAAAGCGGAATGAATTAAAGGTAGACATAGTCAGGTAAGTATTCTAACACTGTAGGAGAATTTTAATTTCTAAGGAAACAACTTACTAGCTGCAATAACCAGCTAGCATATATAGAATGTCCCAAAACTTTGTGTACAAACTTGGAGGAGAGGCCGAGAACATTGTTAAGAATCATAATCTTGTAGGAAAGTATAGGTGGAAAATACCATACACACATAACAAATAGAGATAAATACACAGAGAGAACAATAATATGAAGTGGTATAAAAAATTTTATTACACAGCAGAAGAGTACAAAATTACATACAGGGGGTACAGCTATCTCACATGGATTTGCAAACATTTTAAAAAATACCATGCATTTTGGTTCATCATAGCTGCAACCATGGAGGTAGGAAAGGAAGAAGGGGCCAACTGGCGCTAGAAGCGAAGCATTGCTTCGAAGCTTCGGTCACCAGATGGGGAGTTCTTTGTTTACATTCAGAAGCTCGCTTTACACAGTTCTGATAGTATTTTGACAGACGACAGTTCCATATAAATCGAAAAAGGGACACTTTCGCATGAGAGAAACATTCATAGTGTGATGGATAACAGCAATTTGTATAGTTTAGTGACATTTACGTAAAAGTCACATCTTTGTTATTTTTCGATAACTAACAACAGCGATTTTGATTATAAATTTGTTTTATAAAATTCTAAGCTGTTGAGCTACAAAAATATAGATTTTAAGATAAATGTTATGCTTAAAGAATGAAAAATATCTTATGGTACATTTAAAATTGTATACGTCTTTCGATACCCTTGATATAGAGTATTCGCTACTTTTATTTTATGTTCCAAATGCCAAAATGTTTTAAATAAAACAAATTTTTTTCACATCCATATATTATTGTAACATGTACCTTTTAAAATTTTTTAGAGGAGAGGCTATACTGCTGCTCATTTTAAACTCATCGTTTTAATTTTATATATCTTATTTGTAATTAGGCACATAGGTCAGATTAAGTTTTTATTAAATAGAGTAACGCATGCAAGGGCTATCGTGGAGGAATTTTGAAGAAAAACTGACCTTTCAGTGGGTATTAAAAATAATGCATATAATTTTCATTCAAATTATATTCATATATATTTTTTATGTAAAACTTTCGGGTGTATGCTAAATTAGTGTAAATTACTTTACACGAAAAATATAGTGAATGCACAGAAATTAAAGATTTGCACATGTCGGAAATGAAAAATAGGAAATATGTATGGGTATTTATGCATGTGCTTGCAAAAAGCATGCGCCTTTGACAAAATACATAAATATTCATTAAATTATTTATAAATGTATTTGAAATGAAGAATTTATTCACTTATAAACAACTGTAAAAGTACAGTGAAGAAATTTAATTATTAAATGTATCTAATTTATAATGATTATAAATATTACCTAAATATATAATAACCTTAATATTGAATTGTAAACATAAATTGAAATCCTGTGGACAAATACGTTATAAAACTATTTAAGCAAGAATTGTTCGTATTGTAAAGCAATCTGTTAAAAGGTATTGTAAAGCAAATGCTATGAGATGCGCACTTAAGAACGTAATAAAGAAGTTTGGAATATGTATTGTTAAAATGAAGGGTAAAAAAAAATCTGATATGTATAATTAAAAGAATTATTCCCCTTACATTTTATAATAACTCAGTTACAAGTTTTAAATAATACTTTATTCCCTTTCAGAAATGTTCGGAGAACGTCAAGTACTATCTAAAGTATTTCGCTAATTCCTAATAATTCTCTAATTTAAAATGAACCGAATAGAGCATTAATTATAAATTGACTTACATTTTTCGATTTAAAAGATGCCTCAGAAGCCAAAAAATCATGTCATATTTAAGAAAGTATTTTAGGAAGAAGCTCTATAAATAGAAAAGAAATAATGCATAATTTTAATATTAATAATACAATAAACTTTGATCTTAATTTTTGTACCTTAACCGAATAAAATCGAATAACCTTAATTTTTTTTTCTAATGTAATTAACGTAAACTTGTGAAAATATTTCATTCAAATTAAACCATTCTGAGAAAACCGTCCTGTGAAAAGTATAGCATTTAATTCCGTTCAGAATGAAATGTTGTTTAAAAATATGTTGTTTTCATATACTTAGGACTCTGAAGTGTTGTAGAAAAAGAAAATATATACATTTATAATGTATATTTACATCCGAACGTGTGAAATCCCATTGAACTCAATGGTAAATGACCCAGTGTTTTGGTCACCACATAAGGATCGCCAGTGCTTCAGAGCAGGGTATGGGAGAAACTTGCTTAGGGCTACTCCATCTTACTTCCTACCTCCATGGCTGCAACGATGATTCATGTAGCCAGACTTATTTCAGAAGTTACTGGCATGTAAAGAATAGCCTTCTTAGCACCCCATAGAAAATAATGCAGCTGATATGGGTGGTTTTACTTCTAACAGCCACACAGTGTCCTCCGTCCATCTAGCCAGAGATCCACATTCGGCAAGGTTCTGATGTACCTGAGTGGTGATTTTGGCTAGTGTCTCATTGAATGTTTTTCTCAATACAACTATACAGCAGTTTCATTAGCCAGGCCATGGCCATACAGTTACACAGGCATCAAACCAAAATGTCATTGAAGTTGCTGCCAGCCATTTCCAGTTTGGCACTTTTGAGCTATATTGGCAAGGTCGCGCCAATTTGTTTACCTTGATGTGAAATGGATTTTCTTCCCCTGCAAGTGTTTTTTCCAGCAACACTTCGCACTCCATTGAGGCCTTTTGTGTTACACTATACAAAAATTATTACACTTTGCATATAATTTCACTAAAGTTACAATTTGTAACAGTAACATTAGTAAGCACTTTTTAATGTGTTACATTTATCATTTAAATGATCTCTTTAAAAATAGTACCCACTGCATATTTCCTCCTCCTAGTTTTCATGCTATACTAGGTAGGAAAAGGGGGGGAAATGTGTGAGTGAATATGGTCTTTCAAATTCATGAATAAATTAGGCATAAATCATACCATGAAAAGTAAACCCACATTCTTAATATAGCTAGTCAATTTGGATATATACTTAATTTTTAATCGTTTTGAAAAATATTGCTGTGTGCTGCAGTTTCATAGAGATCTCCTTAATTAATTATGCCAGAGGGTGCTGTACCCCGTCTGGTTCTTCAATGTAGAATTGCAAATTATATTGATGAGGTGTTTAGCTATGAGTAAGAATGTTTGTAAGGAAGTCGTCGGCCCTAATAATTAATGGTGCAATTAATACTACACTTTATTTCAGTAATCATGTAAATAAATTTATTTGTTGTTGTCCAAATGAGAGGGGGGAATTGCAACTGTATTCAAATAAATAACAACTCACGTAAACAGCTAGAAATAGCTCGAGAAGAAGAATGGGCAAGACCGATTCTTAACACATGAAGAATATTGTAGATCAGCAAAATCATTCACAGAGCTAAGTCTATATCGCAGCAATCATGGAGGATGAAGTTCATCATAGTGGTGTGGTTTTCAGCTGCATTGCTGAATTTGAACTGACCCGTGGCAAAAACTTGTGGCACTATTTGTAGGGTTGCCTCATATCACCAAATTGTCAAGAAATTATTTTTGCGAACTTTAAGCAGTTTTTATTGCCAGAGTCATAGCAGAATTTGTACCCAAATCTCTGATTCTTTTCGAGCTGTGTACAATTCAAGTATCGATGAATTGTAAATTATACTATCTAAAACATTACATATGAAACAAACACTTAAGAAAATAAGTAGCTGTAAAATTAAGTAAACAAAACTGAAAAGTAAAATTATATATATATAAAGTGCAGCAAATAAGTTTAAAAATAGAAAGTATTGACTCTCCTCCTCTCTCCCTTTTTTCTCAGCATATGACTTAGAAACATCTAATTTCTGGTAATTTGTAGAAGGAAAGCATAAGTAGGAAAGTATTTTATGTAAATAAAAAGATAATTGAAATTGGTAAAGTCTTTCAAATGCATAGTAAAATATTGTGTCCGCATGTGTGCTTTTTGTCTATGTTTATCATTTAAGCCCCATCTCTTCGAAATACAATATTCTGTGTATTTGCCCCCCTTCCAGTTTTCAACCAGTAAATTATGCATGCAAGTATGTGTAAAAAATACATAAAAACAAAAATAAACTACAAATATTTGCATCGGTTCATTATAATATGGTTTCCAATTTATTGTTTTCTTAAATAAACTTTTAAAATATATGGTATGTTTTTTATTCCATTTCTGAATTCTTTCTAAATGCACCAGTTAAAGTATGGCTAGAAGAATTCAGTTAATGGGAGCCTTTTTTAGATAATTTTTGTCATAAAATTACTTTTATTCATAAATTTTATTTTAAATTTGAATATTTCTACATTTGTTCAGACCTAGTGTGACAGAAGAGCAAATCAAACAAGCTTTCGCAGAAACTGGCGGTACTGTTGTTGGATTTAAATTCTTCCCGTAAGTGTTCATTTTCTTTTTATTATACAATTTAAAAAAAATCATATTACTTTAGAACTTAAAAAGTTTTAGGTATTTATTATGCCATTATTTGAATTGTTAAGTTAGTTTTCCATTTTTAGTTCAAAATGTGCAAATGGGATTTCATTTCGGATTTGCATGAAAGTATAAATGAGACCTTATCATTGCTAAGTAATCATCCAGTGAAATAAAATTTTCTTTGGCTGCAAGCTTGGTTAGCATTTTTGCCTGGATTTGATTTACATATTAGATTAATGTCACTACTTCATCTTTGTATCCCCCCGTCCGCCTTTTTTCAAATCTCTAGATTCCTTTAGTAAAGTTCAAATAAATTGGTAAAAAAATTAACTGGTGTAATCTAAGGCCAACTAGTTGCTAAGAAATACAAACTTCAAACATCCAGATGTTTATTATATAGGCTATTACTTTGTTGAGTTTTTCATCTTCTCAGCAACTAGATGTTGAAATAACCACTAACTGCATTGGTAATTTTGTTGCTTCTAATTATATTTAATTAAAAAATAATCCAAATTTCTTTAGAAATCGCAATGTAACAAGCCACATATATGCTTCATGTGTTTAACTTTTCCTAATGTTCTGTTATTCGTTGCTTTATGAAAGTGTGACCTTCTTCCCCTCATCAGAATACCTGGATAAGGAGGTTTCCAAATGAATATCTTTATGGAAAAAATTGTTTCAAAAGAATAAATTGAGTTTAGTTTAAAAAATTAAATTTAAATACATATTTAATTAAATATTCTTTGCGCCATTGCTACAAGGAATGAAATTTTTAAATTCTAAACAAATATGTATAAAAGTAGAAAAGCAAATTTAAATTCCTAAAAAAAAAAAAAAAAAAAAAAAAAAAAAGAGCCAAAATAATTTAAAAATATGCAAACATGTAAAAGATTTAATTCTCGAACTAATCTACAATATCATTTAAATTCAGAAGCATAAGCAAATCAAGTGTAAAATCTATCCATGAAAATAAATCTAATTTAATAAATTAAAATTAAATTAAACATTTTTTTTAAAAAATGCATATGTGAATGATCATAGAGTAGGCAGGAGACAGACTTATCAAGGGAAAGTTGCCTCCAAACCTAACTCTCCAATCATTCAATTCGTGTTTTGTCATTCATGCAGGCAAGGGTAAAAGTCAAAACCAAAAGTAATTCCAATAAAGTGGTACCCTTAGAAATTAACATTTAAGAATTAAAGTTCAAAAAGGAAAATACTAATTAAGTCTTTTGAGAAACAAGCAAGTAAAGTCAAAAATTAAACTTTTTCTTTAAAAATTAAATTTTTTAAAATTAATTTTTTATAAAATAATAAAAAATTTAGAAACCAATGTATTTTAGAAATCCTTGTCTACAGAAACTTCCCCGACACGAATATGCATATCAATAAAAAGAAACTATAAAAGAACTATACATAATACATATAAACCAATAAGAAACAAAAAGTAACAAAAAGAACTAATTCACAATTTTTAAAATAAATATATATTTAAAAATATAATTTCATATTTAGAAAATACTTAGATACTACATAAAAATTAAAAAAAAAAAATACTTAAAGCAAGTAAATAGTAAGTTTTAATTCTAACTTACCTGCTATACGAGTGTTGGGGTCTGCAAAAGTGTTGTGAAACAGAAGTAAGTGTGTTCTTCAAATTATATATATGGCGCTTATGTAGGTAAAGTTGAGTGTCAAGCTGTTATCTTTGTTTTAGTAAAAAATTTTTTGTAAATATTAATATTAATTAAATTAAATTAAAAATCCTAAAGGTAGTAATATTAATTATTTAGGGAGTTAAGTAACTGAGCCAATCAAGAGATGTATGTTTGCTTGAAGGAAATTAAAGTGAAGTGGTATGTGAAAAAAATGTAAACTGTATGTACAGTGGATGGACAAAAATATGGAAACACCTTGTGAAATGCATGTTTGAAAAGAAAGATTGATTTTAATGAAATATGTAGGTGGCGCTGGCATTTTTGACTACTGACGCCACCTATACAACTTCGTAAATGTGCTAAACAGTTCAGTTGTTGTCGGAGTACTGTTATGTGAGGTTGTCATTGCATTATGTCAGAGTTAACAGACTTCGAACGTGGGCAAATTGTTGGAGCACGTATGGTAGGTGCTTCCGTAAGCAAGGTAGCCGAGGTGTTTAGTGTTTCAAGAGGTACTGTATCGAAGATTTATTCCGCATATTTGAAAAGCGGAAAAACATCATCTGCTAAATCACAGCGCGGACGAAAGTGTGTCCTGAGTGATCGTGACAGATGATCATTAAGGGCAATTGTGACGAAAAATAAGAAGACCACAGCTGCAAAAGTTACTGCTGAAATGAATGTTGTGTTACCGAACCCTGTGAGTACCAAAACAATTAGAAGGGAGCTTCATAAACAGGGAATTGCTGGCCGTGCTGCAATTGAGAAGCCACTCATCAGTGATGCTAATGCCCGTAACAGGAAAAGGTGGTGTTTAAGTCATAAAGCCTGGACTATAGAGCAGTGGAAGCGAGTAATATGGTCTGACGAGTCTTCTTTCACATTGTTTCCCCACTTCTGGCCGACTGGAGAACGCCATCTCAAGCCTATAATACAGACTGCTTGTTGCCAAGAGTGAAACATGGCGGGGTTTCTGTTATGGTTTGGGCAGCCATATCGTGGTTCTCTGCTAGCCCCATGATAACTGTGTCAGGGCACATGACTGCCAAGACTTATGTGAACATTTTGGCCGATCAAGTTCATCCCATGGTACAAACTTTGTTCCCCGATGGTGATGGTGTCTTCCAAGACGAGAAAGCCCCTGTTCACACAGCTCACATTGTCCAGGGCTGGTTTTCTGAGCACAAGGATGAGTTGTCCCATCTCCCCTGGCCACCACAGTCACCAGACCTAAATATTATCGAACCTTTGTGGTCTACATTGGAGAACGGAAAGTGCATTCTCGTCATCCACCGCCAACATCGTTATTTGAACTTGCCACCGTTTTGCAGGAAGAATGGTATAATATTCTCTTGGCAAACATACAGGAACTGTATTTATCCATTCCGAGAAGACTGCAAGCTGTTTTGGATGCCAACGGGTTTCCTACACCATATTAAGCAAAGAAACATGTTTTGTTAAAGGTGTTTCCATATTTTTGTCCAATCCCTGTAATTTGAAATGTGTGTTCTGTTGAAAAATTGTTAAAAAAATTAATTAAATTAATCTACATTTGTTTATGTTTTATGTTAATTCTTTCAGGAAGGATCGCAAGATGGCATTGATCCAGATGGATTCTGTTGAAGAAGCTGTAATAGCTTTAATAGTAAGTATTTTTAAAGTAAATTGCCAGAAAATACATAAATTGCTTATTTATGTATTTTGTAATGTAGTTACAATAAAAATGTGTGCTTAAAATGAAAACATTAATTTTTGCTTAAAAAAATAATTCTAACAAAAGAAGGCAATTTAATGCTTATGATAAATACAAATACTAAATGAAGAATTATGAGGTTGCTTCTCTTTCTCAGTATTAGAGGTAAGCTTGCACGGTACAAAGTCCGGAATCGTTAAGACTTCAGCAATCCCGGATTTTGGATTATTCTGGATATTAGATCATCATTTTAAATCTCATAAGATTTCATGTACAAATTATAAAATTAAAAATATGGAATTGTGGTTTAGGAAGTAATGAAGCATTTATGATCTTAAAGGGTATCAAAATTTACAAAAACTTAATATTTATTTATTTACTTAATTAAACATTTAAGTAAAATGTTAGTAAGTTAAGTTAGTTCTTTTTGTTCTAATACTTTCTTTTTAATTCTATAGTCATATATGATTTGTTGTTCAGTTACAAAGTTCCATTGTTCAGGTCTTGTAATTACTGTGTCGAAAATTCCGAAAAACTTGTCAATCGATTTTTCATTCTCAAAAACCACTCTGTCACTTTCTTCAGTATTGGCAATGGTATTTTCTAGATCTAGAACCATACTGTAGATTTTGCCATCCGTTGATTGATGATTTGGAGCATTGTAATCACAATAATAAACTTCTGTTATATCATCTTCATTTAACACTTCTTCTCCACTTTCCCCCCCCCCAAAAAGTATTAATTGGAAAATTTTACTTTTAGTTTGTGATGTCTGAAAACCTTCAGATTCGCAGCTATCATCATCATCCTCGTCATGAATGGCCACAAATTATGTCAAGCATTTTTTGAAGTATCTGGAAACACATCCTGCAACCATCATCCATCCTGTAGATCCTGTTGCAGCTCCAGAATTAGGAACTCTTTTAGACATAATAGGAAGTTCATATTTAAATTTTCTTAAAATTGCTGTAGAAATAGTAGCCTGCAAAAAATAATATGCTAGTTAAAAGAACATAGCAGTGTGCTATATTAAATGAAATTCCTTGGAATCGGTCAAGTATAGTTTAGCCTAGCTTAATAGCATCCGCTATACATTATTGATTATGTATTATGAAATTGGCAACTAAAGACAAGTTTTTCAGCTAAATTTTGTCTTGCTTCTCTCGTGCATTTGGGACAGTTAAGCCTGAATTGTATTAGTTCTTTTATTATACTTATGTCTAGCATATGTTTAATATGTCCTGGCTTATTGAGGGCCAGGGCTAGATATCTTACCTAAATTTTGCTACCAAGCACCTAAAGTTCTAAATTATTGCCATCTCTAAATTTTGGGTCCCAGTTCTTTCCCTAATAAATTCTAAAATTTTTGTCATTCTTTATTAATTTTTTTGTAGGGTGCTTCTCTAAATTCCAAAAATTTTGCATTTCCTAAACTCTGCCACCTGGTACTGCCATATGAGTTCTGATGCCAGTTCTGGAATTATATGAATAACAAATCATTTATTCTTGATTCAAATAGCACTAAATATAATATTTTCACCTATGAGCATCATTAACAAAATCTGTTTTTAGCATATGGAAAGAAATTCCTGTTAAATTTTTTCTCGTCGACATTTCTTAGCGCATTTAACTTAAATCTGGAATCATTGCCAAGCATAATGTCAACGAAAAAGCTTACCATACTCTTTGATATTCAATTACTAATGTGAAAAAGTTGTTCAGGCATCCCTTCATGTGTCATTACTTAAGTTGTCATATGATGGATAAACATGCTGTGATGAAAGCAAAATATAATAAATGATGATTTTCCAGGTTGGTGTCGTATATATAATCAGTGCTGTTTTTATGTAGAATGTTTCAGTTTGAGACATATGCCAAGCAGATATGCTGCTGCAGAGTTAAATTATTGATCACAATATGCTGAAATGATTGTTTCTTCAATAAAGAAGTATTTTATCTAGTGCCAAAGTGAAATTAAAAATCCAGACTCTCTGTGTGTTTTATTTTGGAGGGATGAAATACGCATGCTTAAAGCAAAAAAAGGGGGGGTGTGGCTCGGATCTCAGACTTTGTACTGTACTGTTTTTCCCCCCTCAATGTTTGAACATGCAAGTTTAAGCCATGGCCTTTTGTATTTGGCAATAGTGACCACACTCAGTACATTTCATTGTGGCAAGTGATGAAGGTCTCTATGACGGTGACAGGGATGTAATTTGAGTTTTGTATTGAACTTGGAAGAACCATAAAATGTAAATATGCATGTGCATAGACTCCAACTACTATGGATTGTCCATAGTTCCTACTCAAAATTACATATTAAGATGCATTAAGATTTCAATAGTAAAAGCATTTCATTGTGGTTACATGCAAGTGATCAGGTTGCTGTTCTTAAAGGAATAGGTTATTACTCTGGAAGGATATCTGTTATGTCTGAATACCAGCATAGCACCTTTCTGGGAAAAGAGTGACCTATAGCTTGTATATAAATATTTTTAACCCATTTGTATGAAATCATGAGGAAAAGACATGATATTGGTAGTACTGTCTGAAATTGATTTGTCAACAGTGGAGTACATTGCAAATAGCCTAGAATTCATATGCAATTTCTCTGTTTTCCCGCACAGTTGAAGGGCAATTTATACAAGTGGTTTTCTTCAGATGGGGAGATAAAGAACTCTACGCACACTGTGTCAAAGATGTCATAAAGCTATGTGTTTCGTGTCTTTAATAGTTTTATAAAGTGTCTTTTGTGTGAATGACTTAAATTTGAAGAGGGAAAAAATACAGTTGCACAGTGTCATTTGATTCTAAATAAGGGAGAATAAAACTTTTCTATTTAACTAAAATGAAAACTTTTCCATTATCTTTTGTAAGTGCATTTTTTAGGAATGCCTGTGGTATAAGTTAAAAATAATTATTTGATAATTAATTTTTCCTTTTAATATTAGATTTATAGTAAATTAGAAATGCAAATGACTCCATTATTGAAAAAGTTTCTAAACTCGGTGTTCTTAAATGGGAATTTTAAAAAGTGAACTGAATAAGCATTACATGTGAAACTATTAAATCATATATATGTAACTAAGCAGGTACTTATTTTTTTTCCTTAAAATGTGCTTAAAAAGTGCTTATAGGTGCTTATTTATTTTAATTAAAATATGGCTACTAACCCTGTGTGCTATTCTGAAGGTATAATCAAAATTGAAAATATATTATTTTTTAATAAATTGGCAGTAGCACAAACTTTATTATAAATTATTTAAAAATATCTTATTTCATTCTTAAAGTTTTTTGCTTAATTATTCTGAATCAAGATTATTACTTTGTTCTTGTAGAAAATGCACAATTACCAGCTGAGTGATTCAAGTCATCTCCGTGTCTCGTTCTCCAAGTCTACTATTTGAAGTTTGTTCAACGTAACCACATAGTCTGTGATACGTGGAAGCAAACCAACAGTGTATTCGTGAACATGAACTGTATAGCAACTCATCCTGCATTTTTTAAGCCTTGCTTGTATATGGCTTCTGCAATACACGATTTTACTAGTAATCTTGCTTTATTTTTATACAACTGTTAAATCTTGCTTTTGGAATCTAATATGAAAGTAAATCATGTAAAATAACAAAATTATATTTAATTTTTTAGTATGTAGTCTGTTGTAAAAAGTTTCCTTAATTTGTTGCATTGTAGAAGCCAAAATAAGCAACGCAGGAAGAAAAAGATGATAATTTTTTAAATGAAGACTGTTCTTAATAAGCACCATATTTGATATATATACCAGGAGTATATATGTTATTTCATTCATGTAATTTCCATTATTGTTTGTTTTTCTTAACATTTCTGCTACTGTGGGTGGATTCTTTGCTTCGTATCACAGACCTTACAAATGGTTTTTCACTGTTGTAAGGAAATTAATTACCCATAAGACAAGGTTTCACCAGCATTATCTTTTATATAAAATATTCTGTATTTTTGCAAGCCTTTCTGGTTTTCTGATGGAAAAAAGCACATTTTTGGGGGGTTGGATCAACTTAAAGAATTCCATAATTGTAATCTATTTTTTCATGTATTGGTCTCTATCTGGAATATGTTTATTTGTATTATCTATTTCAGTCCAAAACATATATATTTTATCTCTTAGATATGTTTTCTTTTTATATGTGCTTTTGTATACCTACTGCTACTAGATATTTCATTGTTGCTCATCGTGGCACGCTGGCTCATGCCTCAAAACTGTTAAATCTTTTTGGTGTGTTTCCACTCTTGTACAACTGCTTGTAGGTAGTATACCTGTTCTATATATTGATTCTCTATATGAATATACCAAATATTATTTTTATTAGTAGCAAACATTTGCATATAAAACTCTTTAATTATATTTAAATTTTCATGGATCAAATTGGCTGTTATTTTTTTACTACTTTTTAATCTCCGTTTTTCTTACATTTTCCCCCTCTTAAAATTTGCATACATTTATTTACAATGCCAATTAGCAGTTTTTGCTTCACATGTTCAGTGTGTATTTTTTCCTCTTTGTTTTGTGAAACAAGTTGGAAATTCTCTGATTACAGGTAAAAATTGTAAATATATATAAATTACATTACCAACATCATCATGATATCACATATATCCTTTTAAATATCAATTTGAAAAAGATCGCGGCTCCTTTAAATTGTGGTAACATAATCATGTGATTGTTACTAAAAACATACAAAAAGTTTATGTATTGTAGAGTATATTTTTTAAAGTATTTGATAACTGTTATTAAAATGCTTATTTTTCATCTGCATAATAGTAAAGTAACATTCCATTTGCAGGTGCATTTGTATTTTTTCATTTCTGAAGTATATATCATATTTTTCTGTATTTACACTTATAGTTGTAGGCAAGAAATGATTGGATATGTGTACACATTTTATCAAATACTTTCATACTGGCAGATATGTGTATAAGAAGCAAGAGAAAATGGACCATACTAGCTTAGAAAATTTGATAGTTCTGTGTACAGCTTTTATCAGAGGCAGTTGTTATTTAATGGATTGCCTCATCTGTTTTTATATCAGACGCCCTTCTTATGCGGCTGGCTTTCTAGGAGTTTAAAATGCAAAGAAACCAAAAAGGGAAAAAAAACCTGCCAAAACAGAAAGTTACAAAGACTGTTATACAGTTGAGTTTTCATTGCCTTTGTAAGAAAAATCATACATATTAACCGTTTTAACTTGTTGTGCCTTGATGCATAGCTACTAATGTGAGTTCTTAATTTTCCTCAACTATGAGCTTATAACTATTCCAACATTAGATATTTAGGGAATACTATTGTATTTTTGCTCTTGATTTATCGGGCTATTACTTTGCACAATGAAAATTTTACCAAACTTACTTGAAAAGAAATTGTAAAGGAAAAAAAATCAGAATTGACAAGGGTTCCCATTTTAAGTGTTATATTTACTAAAACTTTCAATATATGCCTACCTTTTATCGTAATTGTTTTTGTAAAGCACTTATTTTATACCTGATTTCACTGAAGGCTTTTTAAAGCAATTTAATGTGATTGTGAGAGTAGAACCTCTGTTTCAGTGGATTGAGTAAGAAGTGAGAATCCTGAAAATCATAAAGGTATTTTTTTAAGAATGGGATACACTATTAATTTTAAAATTAAATGTAAATTTTTATTAGTGTTTTTAAATCAGTACCTTGAATTTAGGCTCATTGTCTTTGCTTCTGATGCTTGTTTAAATTGCATCAAATGCAGAGAACTAAAATGCACTTGTTTTTTAAGTGTTTATTTCTTTCCTTCCCTTATAATAAAATCCTAGGCAAACAGAGGTTCCACTTTCTAGTTATTTCTTTTGTCAGTTGTAATGAAAAGTCAAACATTTCTTTTCTCATTCCTTTGTAACACTTTTGTGCTATTTTATTTGTTTTAAAATTGTGATAAATTTTGTTGTAAGGAACCCTGTCTTCTAATCTTTATAAACCAACTCTGGTGCAAGCAGGTTTAAATAGTGTGGAAGATGCCGGAAGTGCTTAAAATCATATCATATAAATATATATGTATACTTGCATGAATTATATCTAGATTTCTGAGGCTGACTGCCTTTTCAATGTGTGAGCACACAACACAAGCTGTGCCTTCTTAACAGGTGCTACTTTTATGAGCACTGTTTTGCTTGTGACAAAATTGAATCCTTTTATAATGTGTATTGAAAAATAAAACAATGTCTTACATTAAACAATAAAGATTGGTGACGTGTTTTCTGCACTATGAAACTGGTTTGTTTTGTCTGCTTTGATTTTTCTTTCTTAAAATCTTTCTTTGTCTAAATTATCTTCTTATTCTGATTTTTTATTTTATAAAATATGTGATTACATTTCTTGTCATTTTTCTTTAAAATCATTTCTAATACTTTTATTACTCTTAATATGATAATTTTCTGTTCTTGCATGACTAATTATTTTATTTTCCCTCATTGTGGCAGATATTTTTGTCTTGTAAATAATTCTTATGCATTATTAAAAATTTTGTAATGAATTTCAAAATATACAAATAAAGCTGGAACAGTATTTCCATTGAATATTTTAAAAGATAAATGAGGTTAAAAGATTTCTGAATTATCTTTAAAAAAAATATTTGTTTGAATATCATGGTTTGTGAAGACGAACTTTAGGTTTTAATCTAGAACTTGCACTTGAGTGTACCTGTATGTTAGCCTTTTTAATGTGCTTTTCTATCTATTGTTATTTTGCATTGCCACTAGTATCTTTCCTTTGCTTATGTAGTGTGTAGAAATTCTTTCATATTGCATAATGTTTCGAATTTGAATGGGTAAGCGTGATGAGCTTTTTTCTGTATCAGTGTTACCTTGTATCACACCCTTTAATGATGTCAAAGTACATACATACCTAATTGTTTGATTTTTATGAATTGAAAGTTATGTGCATGAGAGCTATAGCATCTTGTCTATTCAGAACTTCTTTGATATCTTCTGCTTTATGTCTTCCTATCATATTTTTTCCTTTTCTACTTATTTTGACAAATCTTTAGGCTTTTCTCTGTAATTTTTGTTGTGAAATTAAACTTTGTATCTATTCTTGGCTCTCTGTTTACTTCTTAAAGCATTTTTAGCTTTCTTTCCCATTGATTTGTGCACTTCCTGGCCCTGAACTTATGTATGGGTTGAAATATGATGTGTTTGAATATTTTTGTCTAAATTTAATGTGTTGTTTAATATTGTAAAGGGGGTAATATATGCAGTGTTTTGAATAATAGCCACATTTGAACTTTCACAAGGTTTGATTAGACAATGCTAAGCCATGAAATACAGAATGTTTTTTTATGTATGCATTTGATACCGCAGGGTGGGCCACAAATTCTTGCAAATGTTTCTTGTTTTCTCAAAAACCATTTGGAAGAGCAGTGCATGGGCAGTGGTTTTCAGATGGGGTACACACTTAAATAGCACTCCTTTTGTAGTGAGTGAGTGCTAATTTTAACAAGTTCATTAACTGCAAGGGCATGGTAAAATTAGTATTCCCCTCACCAACCTCTCAGACTTATTCTAATAAAAGCATGGAATGAGATAGAGGTGGAAAACGGGTCTTGCTGTGGACATCTGAGGGGTATTTTTGAATAAAGGAGATGGAAGTATTCACATGAAAATAATTTTTGGATCAAGCAAATAGAAGTATTCGCATTCTGACACGTGAAGGTAATTGTTTTATACCATGCACCTAATGCATAAAAGCTCTTACGATTAAAAATAATAATAATAATAATAATATGAAAGTTTTCAGATTTTTATATTATGCCCAAAGGTGCTTTTTTTAATGTTTTGTGTGTTAACTTTATTTATGAAGCAGTAAGAAAGCAAAATATCATAAGCTAATATGTATCAAGTAACAAAAAAAAATCTAATGATTGAATAAAGTTGGTCATGCTGCCCAGACAATTAAAATGTAAATATAACTTAAAATTGAAAATTACATAGTAGCATGTGGACTAAATGAATGAAATGTAGATGATTTTTCGTTTAAAAAAACCAGGTTCAAAATCTAGCATAGATAAAAGAGCATTTTTAGTGTAGTAAGTATGCAGAAGTTGAAGTGGGGGAAAGAACAATGGGGGGTGTATTTTAATTTAAAAAAAAAAAAGAAGAAATGGAAATGATGTGCAACCTGCAAGAATACGTTTTGAGTGTATTATTGTGCAAAGGTTTATGATTGAATATAAATTGGTCTCCATCTAACAGATATTTGCTGTGCAGCCCACTAGATAGAATCGTTGACCATGACAGACTGAAATGTAGTATAATTCCATACTTGATGAAATAGTGACACATAAAATATGTATAATTAAATTTTATAGCAGATATGGCTGTGTAATATTAGGCATTCTTGAAAAGAAAAATTTTATTACAATGGATGTACTTTTTGAGCTTTGGGTACTTGATAGCACCACTGCATTATTACATGAGAATTTCTACAAAATTCTGGTTTAGCTTCACCTCAAGTAGGTCCCATTTTATTTTTAAGGACAGCTGTTATATAAAGCTCCTCAACCTGAGCATAAATTTTAACAGTTGGCACTAAATTTAAAAATCATTTTCACAACTTGGCTGATGAGAATATCTGAAAGATGGATTTAAAAACTCATGGTACGTTAATGCTGCGCTGACTTAACACTTGTTAAAAGGTATCGTGAGTAGGGCTAGAGTTCTGGGAGTTTACATATTTATGGAACGCTTCTCAGGTAAAAAGCTACAGTTCCTGTATTTATTACTGTACAATTTACCCAACATTATTTGGCTTCAGTGCTACATTAATTTACTCTTAAGTCAGGAAATTCAAAAAAACTTTGTTTCAACGTAAATATGAAATGGGCAGGACAGCTACACTCTCTGTGAAGTGAGTAAATTGTGAAGCATTTGAAGGTTATGAAAGAGGATGTGAATGTAGCAGGATAGTGTCACATGCTGTACCTCAAACGTATTCATACCCGTGGTTAAGTAGATGCTTCCCATTAAATTGGTTTCTTGTAGAGGTGACATTCCATGGCCTCTATAGAACCTGGAGCTTCCTCACGCTGGTTTTATTTCATGGGGAATCTTAACTCTTTTGTACAAAAATAAAATAGCAGCAACAAACTAAATCTACATATTTAATTGCTAGAGTTCCAGAGACCTGAAGGTAGATGTTATTTTTAAAGGTATCTAGCTATATCCTATTAATTAACAGCTGAAAAAGTAACCTTATTATTTTTTTTATTTTATTAATTTCTGAAACTGCAAAAGTCTCTGGCCCACCTTGTATGAATTACATTTATCTTCAGCTTGGAATTCTGAACATTTTAAATTAATGCAATATCAGACAGTAAAGTTAAATATTTTATCCCAGTGTGCAGTTTCAGTGGGTGCCATTGCACTGCAGGTGATATGCAACAAAATTTCCAAAGCCAGAGCTGTAAGCTATCCTGCTATGATTTATATATTTTTATAGTTATCTTACTTCTGACATTAAAGAAGTAATTTTTATTAAAGTGCCATAACTGTATATCTTTGTATCTTATTTAGTGACATGATACAATATTTATCTTTTTATATATCTAATATGTGTGCGTATAAAAGATCTTCAAAGAAAATGCTTGAAGCTGCTTATTTTTGGATGTGGGAAAATGTATTTAATGCTAATTTATTTTGTTATACTTTTCACTTAGTTAAATGATAGCTAAATGGTAACATATTATGTTATTCCTATCATCTCCACTTATAAATGTAGTATTTATGGGATATTAGACCCTTGAACACATATTACCTCGAATTAAGTGTCATAAAGATTTATGAGCAAAATAATATATGTGTGGCAAACAAAAAAAAAGTTCAAAACAGTTTTGCTGTGTAAGCTGCAATAAGCAGTGTATTTTTTAATTACACTCTTTTAACATAAAGCAATGCACCAAGGAGATTAATGCTGCAACGAAATTGCATATGCCCATACCTTACGATGGAATTAACTTTTGGCGGCAAGTACTAACTAGCTGAACTCCATTGCAGTGTGCAATGGAGCATCCGGATGCTGCACAGAATGGAGAACATTCCAGTACTAAAGCATAACTTCTGTGCATATTTGGTTTCGTGGGTCCACGTGGCCTGTACCAATGCCTGCCAGATGGGTTCCTAAACAGTATGAGTAGATGTTGTCATTTGAGAGAGGATGTGCAGTGGGACTAAAGGACAGCAGTGTGTTCAAATTGCTAGACACTTGGGTCAGAGTGAGACTACCATTCGACAATGTTGGCAGCAGTAGGTAAACCATGGCCATACAGAGCGTCAAGAAGGTAGCGGACAACTGAGAGCGGTGATAGACTAATCATCTGATCAGTTTTCACAGTCCCTAATGTGTCCTTACCAATGATCTGATGACCATTGATAGGCGACTCAATGAACGGAGGCTGACTGCCTCTTGCCGTTGTACGCCACCAATCGGGCAAAAAGGGTGAAACTTTTGCTAGTCACCTAACCCAATAGTTTACACGAAATGGTTTTATTACAAATAAAGACTGAAATGCAGTACAGGAATGGATTAACACCATCTCCTTAGAATGTTATCCAGCTAACCATACCCAAGACTAATCACAGACATTATTTAAACATCTCAAGTCTAAAAAAGCCCCGGGGAATTACTAGATTTTGAATAAATTACTCAAAAATTTACAGCACAATGCTATCTGCAACACTTGTCTGACAAATGCATATTTCCCAAAAATGTGGAAACATTAACATTTCTCATCTGTAAACCAGGGAAACTGGATGACGAGCCCTCAGTCTTCTCTCTTCATTAGGAAAAATTTTTGAAAGGCATATCCTGCAGCATCTAAGCCTCATTCCAAATAAACAGGGTTATCGATGACTCTTCAACTAATCCGGATCTTTGATTTCATTGGATCGGCTCTCTGCTGTGCTCAACTTCCCACGAGAATACATCATGATCTGGAAGTCACTCTTCTAAAAACAGGACATCAAGACGAAACTTAGGTACCCTACACATATGCTGAAGGATTCAGATGATGGTCAAAGCTTCAAAAATAAGGGTAAAGATTGAGTTCCAGTAGTGTGGCAAGAGCCATGAAATTTTGGAAAGTCGGACGTTCTCAGTGAAGCTAGTGCACTCTCCGCTATCCTTTCTGAGGTGATATTGCTCAGGATTCATTCCTAGGCTCCATGCTCTATCTTAATTACATGAACGATTTCTGTAAATTCTGAGGCGATTACAACTTCTTGTTAGCTTGTTATGTTGATTATACCACATTTATTTAAAAATTCCAGGGGACCAAATCACACGCTTCAAAAACTATTAGCCAAAATGCCCGATGTGAAAAATTGGTGTTCCAAATGGAAGATCTGCATCAATCCGAACAAATCGCAGATCTTCCTCATCAGAAAATTTAAGTTACAAGATCCATTAAGAACTCTGTGTAAAAAATGCTGAACGCAATAAACAGAATGATACAAATGTGCAGTAGAGTCAAAAGTTCATTGGAAGTGTACTGGGTCTGGAAAAACGAAGTTGAATATCACTTGATCAGTACAACCAATTTGGATGGGGGATACAATAGTTTGCACATAAAATAAAGTACAGTATAAGCTAAAATGCACTTGAGAGCAGGTGGAAGTAATAAAATTTGGATAAAATGCATACATATGTACAGGTACCAGCTGCACAGAGTTCTGAGAGAATTGGCACTTGTACTTCTGGACCATGGGGAAACTGAGCATGAAGCAAATGGTATTTGGATGGAAGATTCTTTTTTGTTCTTCATATTCAAACAGTCGAACAAATGTAACAATCATTGCTGTGATTTCATGGCTCTTGCCACACTACTGGAACTCAATCTTTACCCTTATTTTTGAAGCTTTGACCATCATCTGAATCCTTCAGCATATGTGTAGGGTACCTAAGTTTCGTCTTGATGTCCTGTTTTTACTCTGAAATAAGCGAGGTATACTTGCATGCCTTTCCACCATTAACTCACTAGAGATGTAACAAAAAAAAAATCTTCAGACATTTTATAACCTCTTGAAGCCATTTAGAGAACGAAAATTTGCTTTACGGTATAAAAATAAAATTTACATCAACAAAAACGTGTTATATGTCGTAGGGGGAAGAAAATTCGATTAAGGCGCGAAAATAATTAATGGTTAAAATAGCTCTGAGTAACGCTGTGAAAGAGGCATGAACACTGCCAATAAAAGAATCGTCACAAACAATCAAATCTTAGTTTCTTCTCAATTTCGGCCAAGCTGTCGACTTCATGTATGCACTCAGTCCCAATGTCTAATCTCCGACTCAAAAATTTTTGTAGATTCCCTAAAACAAATTACGGAGGAAGAGAATCAGGCAGAGGGTTTCAGTGGCCTAATGTAACTTTAAAAAAAAAAAAAAATTCAATGAAAGTAAATCTAAAATGCAATAAAACAAAAAATTTATTAACTTATTTAAAGCAATTTTCAATAGAAAACTGGAAGGGTGAGTGTGTCCCCTCCCTCAGTCAGACCTCTCAACCTCATAAATTAGCATTTGATGTCTAATTTAAAAGTTTTATATTTTCGCAAGTTTTCGACTTTTTAATAATTTTGAAATTTGCGATCTATAAAAAATCTTCACGTTAAGAATAAGTCCTTTCCGGATTCAACTTTAAAAAATAGTTCAATAGGCATCTGAATGAGCTATTTTTTTAATAATTTATATGTCTTGAACACTAAATAAAGTATTTAATGAAAATAAAATATGCTGAAGAATTTTTCGCCCCTGATGTAGAAGGATGTGTACCTGTTCGCCCTCTAAATCAATAACGTATTGGTTAATCTACGCCAAACACAAGGTTTTTGCTTTGTCTAATTGTATGTTTTACTCTAATATATTTCTCTTCTCTCTTCCTGCAAATCAGTTGAAGATGATATGCAAAGACGATTTACTATCTCCGGAATTTCTAAACAAAGAGATGAAACGTTGGCGACGGCATTTTATGTCTATTCCCAAAGCAAAACACCCAGACGCTTTGCCTTTGAAAACTTTTAACTCGTTTTCAAACTCAACTGGTCTTTCCTGGGTGACTAAGGGAAAGTTCTCTTCGAATCGGAGTTCATAATCACAATTTGTCGCCTTCATTGAACCCATGTCTTGAAGCTATCCTGTCGTATCAGGTTTTCATATTCTCCTTTGCCAAGGTGACTCCTTCTCGGGCAAAACTGTGTATCACTTTAAACCGCTCCTGGAGATCTTGAATGTACTCTCCTTCTAAACGTATCCCGACAGTGATGATGCCATCCAATTTTGTCAGATAAGCTTCATAGGAAAGACATCTCAGCACGTTCTTCATCAGGCATTTAAATGTTACCAGCATATTGCATAATAGAAACGGCATCACCTTGAGCTGTCAAAGCCGTCTTTTCTCGCTCATCATGTGCTTCTCTACTTCCGGATATCCATCTTTAAATCAAGGTTTGTAAACCACTTCCTTCCAGAAAGAGTGTATGAAATATGAATTCTAGGAAGAGGTTAGTTGTTATTGTTCATGATTTCGTTCAACCTGGGATAATCAGCGAAAAATCTAGTCAAACAGGGTTCGTAGCGATCCTTACAAGTGCTTATAAGTCCTTATATTTGAAAATAAAATATAAAGACCCTTATAGGTGCTTACTTTTTCTTTAAAGCCCTTATTTTTTTTTTTTTTTTTTTTTTTTTTTTTTGTTTGTTTGTTTGTTTGTTCTTAGTGCTTATTTTTTGCTTTTATTTTTTTTTTTTTAATCCTTTGTTTTTAATGAACGCGCATTTTTTCCCCGTACCAAAGCCGAAACTAAATAAACAACTTTTCTTCCTTATATGCAACGTCAGATGGTGAATCATACTCCCGGAAATTGCTTTGCCCCCCTTCCTCTGCATTAACGTAACCTATGGTGTGCGCGAGAGTACAGACAGGTGCACGTCGTTCTATTGGCCAAAGAATTGAAAACGGTAGAAAATTCCGGTACATTTGGTATTCTTTTCCTCCCGTCCAAATACTGCACACGTTTGAATTTTTATCAAGATTTTAATAATTTGCGTTCTCGTTCCGCATGGTCAGTTCATATTCGTGTTTATTATGATCGTTATGCTTATATTATGAGCATATTTATGAATATTTATAATAATGTAGTTGCAGTAATTGCTGAAGTATAGATAAACTTCCAAAAATGGGTGTGTTTTTACACAGATTAGCTTTCTAAGGAATAATATTCGGAATGCCTTAAATAAAAGGAAAGTAATCGAAAAGTCAAAATAATTTCATTTTCTTTGCCAATACATTATACAGTACGGAGGTTGGGAGTTTCTCCACAAAATCTCTAATATTGAAGCAACGGACTTTCTTTTTTTTGGTCACTGTCCAATCTGGATTGAATAGGACTAAAAGTTTTTGCGGTCTACCCAATCCAAGCGAAGATTGATTCTATTCCGGAAATTTAATACAGTCTCTTGAAAATTAGAAATCAGAAACACCCCAGATTAGTAAGTCTTTTTCTTTATCTCTCTCTCTTTTTTTTTTTTTTTTTTTTTTTTTTTTTTACCTTTAGTTAGTTTTTTATTCTCCGAATACCGGCAGGTGTTGATTCCGATTGCGTAATATCACATATGGAAGAATTATGCCGCACGTATTGCGCAATAACGTTTGTGGTATTTTGCATTGATAATTAATTTTGATGTTCCGTCTGAGATTTGTTTATGAACACTTAATCTGTTAACTGGGTATGACGAAATTTTTCGTCATGCTGGGAAGACTATTTCAATGGACATGATGAAATTTTTCTTACATTTTTTTGCAATCTGTCACTTGACCGTTGTTCAAGAAAAATCGATCAATGGAAACACTTGTCCTCTCATAAATTGTGATAACACTCCTAATTTGCACAACTTAATTTCATTTTAGTCTGCATTTCAGTATTTTACATATTAGTAATAACTCGTTGATTTGAGTAATTGTTAGTTTTTTATAAATATGGCTAAAAATTATTGTGAAGCAGAAAATATTTTTGAATTGTTTTAAAGTGACGATGAAATATTGCCCGGGAGGTTTGGTAAATGACGTCGAATTCTAAGAATAACTACCAGTTTGGAAGAAAGCGATAACGATTTCTTTACTGATGGTCTGGACATTGAATCAAAGGATGATGATGTTATAGACCAAAATACTCAACCGACATCAGCTGAATGGAAATGTGAAAGAATATTGCGATCGCCTTTCCCGTTTTTATCTCAATCTAGACTTACATTTGAAGGACCTGAAGAAAAGGATTGCCTTTTTTATTTTGAGAAATTTATCGATGAGAATTTTGTAGAACTTATTGTGGAACAATCAAACAAATACGTCGGACAGTTTTTTGAAAAAATACTTCCATAAAACCGCGTTCAAGATGTCTCTCGTGGGTTGACACAGATGACCAAGAGATAAGAGTATTTATTTTTTTACTAATTTTGCAAGGAATAATAGGAAAACCTTCTTATCAGCTTTATTTCACAAAGCGAGAAAGTCTGGAGACTCCATTTTTTTTTATAAAACTATGTCAGAAAAAAGATTCCAACTGTTAGTAAAATTTTTACATTTTAGTGATAACAATGCTTTCGATCTAAAAGTGTGCAACAAAAAACCCCACAAAATCGATTCCATTTTGAACTATTTGAGAAACAAATTTGAGGTGTTATACGTACCAGATAAGGAAATATCTGTAGATGAGTCTCTTTTGCTATGGAAACGAAGACTGTCTTGGAAACAGTACATTCCATCGAAAAGAAGTCGATTTGGTGTTAAATTGTATAAGATATGTAAAAGTAAATCCGGATACATAAGTGATTTCATTATATATACAGGTAAAGACACGCAGTATGGTTCGAACTATCCAGAAGAACAGGGACCAAATCGTATTGTTCTTGAATTGTGCCACGATTTGTTGGATAAGGGATATACGCTATATCTCGATAATTGATATACTAGTACTGATCTAGCTGAGAAGATGTGAAGAAAAACCGATGTTGTAGGAACAATGCGAAGAAATAGAAAGGGAATACCATCTGATTTCAAAAATTGTGTTTTGAAAAAAGATGAACATATTGCTAGGTACAGAGACAAAATAATGATTATGAAGTGGAAAGACAAAAAGGATGTAATTATATTGAGTACTATCCACGACAATAAATTTGTAGAAATGGAAAAACGAAGGAAAACTATATCAAAACCGGAATTTATCGCTGACTACAACAAAAATATGGGAGGAATTGATCTTACTGACGGACAAATGAAAACTTATGAAATCGCTAGAAACCAAGTAAAAAAGTATTACTATAAGATATTTTTACATGCACTAGACATGGTGTGTTTGAATGCATATCTTTTATACAAGAAAGATGGCAGTCACCTAGATAGGCTTCATTTCCTTATCGAAACTGTAGAAAAAGCAAGGAGGTTAGAATAGAAGGAGGGAAGGTTCAACTCAAACGGTGAAGCTTGACGGCCATCTTCCTGTTATCACCGTGACTTGTGCAAGGAAGTCTGTCATTGCAAAATTTTTTTCTTTGCTTTTTGAAGCATGTCAGCTTGTATTGCATATGGATGCACAAATAGATTCTCGAAAAAAAATTCCGGGCATTATTTTTCACACGTAAGTATTAATTTTCTTTTTTTATGTAATATGACAACTATGTCAAAAAATATCACAATGTCATGTGGTTTTCTTTCCAGATGTGAAAAAAAGGACTTAAAATAGGTTATTTAATATAACTATAATCAAAATATATTAAATACATTTTAATGTTTCTGTTTATAGCTGGTATCTTCGTTCCTTAAGATACAATGCTATATGGTAGGATTTAAATTGTATAATTTGAACGTTTTTTAGTTAATTCGTTTTATAACGTTCATGAAAAGTAAGAAATCAATTGTTACTATTTTTATTAATTGTAAAGGTGTTTTAAATAAAGCAATGCTTTTCTTTATATATTAATTATTATTCATTTTTTTAAGTTAGATAAGATAAACTGTTCTGTTGTTAAAAATTTTTGTATAAACTTACAAATTTCTGAGCAGTATAGTGATAAAATTAAGTAAAATATTTACACAATTGAACATGTGGAAAAATGTATCCAAAAACTTATATAGGTGTATTTCTGTAATTCAACTTAATTAAAGGCAGTTTCTTTGAGATTAATAAATATGAAATGCGCATAAACTGAAATCAATGAATTCTGTTTTATTTTATTAAGATTTATTTTCTAACCTAAGCGAATCCGTGAAATATGCAGAAACAACATTTTTTAAAGGCTTTAATGTTATGCACATGCATTTAGATTTCGAACTATTTCTTAACAATTTGCTGTACATAGTAAATTATGGATATCATCTTTATTACTTTAAAACAAAAATTCAACAATAGCGGGGGATTTCATTATAAATTTAACATAATTTTACTGGAAAATAAATGCACGGAACAGCTTAGAAACACGTACATGTCACTGCCGTAATGCAATGTTTTGAAGTCACAAACATGGACGCCGCTTTTTCGGCGGAGTTTCATTCCCCGATAGTGGAGGAAACTGCGAACCCTCCCTCCTTCTATTCTAACCTCCTTGAGAAAAAGGTGTTGAAAAAATATAGAGACGGATCGCAGTTGCCATCTACTAGTACAGGACGATCATCTTTGACACCAAAACTATCTCGACTCTTTGAAAGACATTTTGCAGACTATATACCATCCGACTCTTCAAGAGTTAAATGTAACGAGGAAGATGCAAATTATGCTATTCCAAAGGTCTTAGGGAAAGAATCGAGATTTTGGTGTCCCGGACTGCAGTGTTGCTTTGTGTATGCCGCATTGCTTTAGGGAATATCATACGAAATAATTGTTTAAATTCACGTTCAATTAATTTGTTTTTATCCGGATTAACAAATGTTTAATTTTAATATTTAATATCATTAAATATTTTAGAACGATTTTCTTTTATTTATTCCTTGCGATGTGCTGAAATTACTGCAAAGGAAAAAGTCCCCATTGTGAAACGATTTTACTGAAAGCTTATTCCCCAGTTAACTGGTTAAAAGAGTTTTACTGTACTTTCTAAGCAGAATATTTCTCAGTTCTGTTGGTCTATTTTTATATGATGCACATATCGAAACGTCAAAATCATTTATTTGGCCGAGAAATCTTAAGAACAACTACAATCTCCCTCACTCCTCTTTTTCCAGTTACTATCTGGAATATTCGGGAATTTCAGAGAATGCGGGTTAGTTAAGCTTTTACTGTTAAAGGATGACTGGATGAAGCAATTTCCCGTCTTCTGATTTCAGAAATGTGCCTCTTTTTTACTTAAATTACTTTGCTTGGTATATATGTTAAGGAAAAACTGTTATGCAATGAAAATTTAGAAAATGTTCAGAATTTTGATTTAAGTTAAATTATTTAAATATTAATATGAGTGGAAAAATAAATTGTATTTATTATTAGGTGCCAAATGAATACAATTAATATGGCTTATTATTATTTATTTTCTATATTTTCAACTGAAATATCATCATTAAATCTTGTAATATAGTTTAGTTCTGCATAGTTTTTTTTCTCTCATTGTAAACTAATTCTGTAAATTAAACTGTCATTTAAAATTAAAAAAAAAAGTTAATTGTTTTCCATTGTTGAGGTAATGCTCATTCTCTTAATAAATATTGCATTGCTCATATTTTAAATTACAGGTCTAATTTTTCTTTTAAAGTTATGCAGTTGTGTATAATGTAATTAGACAGGTGCTTATTTTTTCCATAAAATGTGCTTGAAAAGTGCTTATAGGTGCTTGTTTTATTAACTAAAATGTGGCTATGAACCCTGTCAAAACATCCTTCTTTCGGGAAAGGACAGTGGAAGAGGCCCAAGGAATTGTTGAAGGCTTTTTATGGATATGAAGTGTGGTGGATACTTATTGTTTAACCATAGGTATTGTCTCCCCCGCTCTAATTTTTCGCATAACTACTTTTCACAGGGTCTCTGCCAGCGTTCCTGTGTTTTATGATGTGTTGCATAGTTTTGTGAACAGGAAGCTCATTATGTTTATGAATTCTTTTCTGAGATATCTATCCTCTAAAGCCTTCCTTTAAATAGTCTCTTTTTTTTTCTACATCACATGAATATCACGCGGGTTAGAAATTTACATTTTGCCTGGAAAACGGAAACGAAGGCTACAGGATAGTAGATTAACATAAAATAACTGGTTAGAAACTTAAACGTGAACTTTATAACTTTCGCTGACAGGATTTAAGTGTACGCAAAAGAGATCTTTATGGACTTGAATCTAAATAGGTAATACTACACAGCTAACTTCTTACAATTACATGGAATTTTAAGTTTAAAATTACATAGCAAAGAGCTGGTTCCTTTTTTCAGTGACAATAGTTTGGAAAGAACACGACTTTAGCAAAAAAATTCAAAACATCGTACATTACTTTAATTTACTTTACCTCTTTTCAATCTTTCTATTCGAAACTTTCATTTAAATTTAACTGAACTTTCATTAAACTCATGTATTCTATCAATAAAATCTGCTCTCCGGTGAAAATGTGCTGTTAAGATCGAAATAGGGTCTTTTGTCTAAATAACACAAACTCTAACACCTAAACCTCAACCTACATGTTAGAAATTCGGACTCACTTAGACATCAAAGGCCCTTACTTTCAAAATTGTACCTAATGTGTTAACAAAATCGTGCTTAGGTGTTGGCTGGAGAGCCTAATTTTAAACTTTATGCGCACACAGCTAGCTTTTTACTTTTATATCAAAATTTTGCTTAATTCTGCTAGCTTGCCTATAAACGTCTCTTTCACGCAATACAAATTTAGTTCCTACAACTGTGAAAATTTTAAGTTTACTTTAACACATATATTTAAGAGCATTTTAATTCACAATACAAACATAAGGCATACTGCATTAAATAAAACATATACAATACATTAATTTAGAAAATTCAGCTTGGACTTTGCATGACTTGAAACTAATAAAATAAAAGATTATCGATAAGTTCATAGTTCTCGTCTGTATTTCTTATTGCTGCAATGTCTGGTTGTTCGGAATAATCCATATCTTTCAAATAAGAATAAACATTTTTTAATTCGGGTTTCCTTTGCAATTCTTCTAGTATTTCCTTTCTCATCCAACTTAATTCTTGAGAGTGCACCGACCACCGTATTTTCCTTTCAAGGATTGCCCAGCTAAAACATAGCAGGTGAAGAACCCTCAGGGGATTGCCGTCTTGGTGATCGGGTGTCACACTCCCGGAGCCCCAGTGACCTTTCCTCCTCTTTCTTTCCTCTCCTCTTATCTAGCTCTCTCTCTCTCCTATTTCTCTCCCTTGTGGTTTCCTCTACTGGAGGTTGGGGCTCACTGTGAGATGCAGCTACTATTCTTGGTTTCTGTTTCACCATGGTGAGAATACCGCCTATGCGTTTGCCGTGCATGGTGACCCATAGGGTGGGAAAGGAGGATCCTGGCAGTTGAGAGGCGAGGTATTTTCCCCAACACACTGCTTTGGCCTCTGCTTCTACTTAAAACGGGAGGCACTTAGCTGGTCACTAGTCCTATTGGTCAATGGCTAGGGGATAAGCTCTCGGAAGTCTCCGCTTTCGGAAAGCCGATTGTGGGGCTTCAGTTTGCGTATAGGCCCGGCTAGCCCTAACACAGGGATCTGTGTTCCCTTGTTGGGCTCCATGGTGAGTGGGGCGGTCGGGCCCGAAACTTTCTCTCTTTTCGATATGAAAACTTTAACTTCTTCTCCTAACCATATGGATACGAAAAATTCTGGCTAAAAGAATTTGCACTTCGACCTTAATTAGCACAAGCAAATGTCCAAAGTTCTTAGTTATTACTGGTCAGCTAGAAAATTTATCACCATTCTTCATCCATAAGCATATTGTGGCCTCAGCAGGCGAGCCAAAACACATAAAAAAGCTCCGTTCAGGATCTCTGCTCATCGAGACTACATCTGATGCACAATCTTCCTCTCTCCTAAAAATGACCAAGATGGGGGAACATTCTATTACTGCATCCCCACATAAGTCTTTGAACACGTCAAGAGGTGTCATTTCGGAAATAGACTTGATATCAGTCTCTGAGGATGAACTTTCAAAAGAACTCGCCGAGCAAAATGTATGTGGGGTCCGCCGAATAAAAGGCCGTAGAGACGAGCAACTCGTCAACCCAAACCTGAATAGCCCCATCAGATCTTACGTGCCGAACACACTGCGCTGCTTCAAGTGTCAACGGTTTGGCCTTGCGAAGGCCGCATGCCGGGAAAACCTGGCATGTGCTCGTTGTTCTGCAGGTGGTCGCGTAAGCCAGGATTGTGTAGCTCATCCAAAATGTGCGAACTGTCATGCCGATCATCCAGCATACTCACGAAACTGCCCTAAGTGGAAAGAAGAGAAAGAAATACAGCATAT